GGGGCGGTCCTGGGAATATCTGTTGAGTCAGGGTGTGGGGGGTCCTGAGAATATCTGTAGAGTCAGGGTGTGGAGGTCGTGAGAATATCTGTGGAGTCAGGGGGGTGTGGGGGGGGGGGGTCCTGAGAATATCTGTTGAGTCAGGGTGTGGGGGGGTCCTGAGAATATCTGTTGAGTCAGGGTGTGGGGGGGGTCCTGAGAATATCTGTGGAGTCAGGGTGTGGGGGGGGGGGTCCTGAGAATATCTGTGGAGTCAGGGGGGTGTGGGGGGGGGGGTCCTGAGAATATCTGTTGAGTCAGGGGTGTGGGGCGGTCCTGAAAATGTCTGTGGAGTCAGGGTGTGGGGTCCTGAGAATATCTGTAGAGTCAGGATGTCAGTATGTGATGCTGAGAATATCAGGAGGGGATATGAAAGGATGGTTATTGCTGTTGACTGAAATTAGCGTTACGATTTGATACCCGAACTCACCACATTCCGCACATAGCGACATATCTTCATTCACCCCTTAACCTCACACCACACTGGCCACACTCGACCCATTAAAAAATCCACACTATCAACTAGAGGACATAGACCTTTATTTCTAAATTTACAAAAGAAATCTTAAATTGTGACGATATTCTGTTAAAAAAATATATTTTTAGAATTTTAACCACTTCCAAGTCGAGACAGAATTTTAACACCACCGCCCTCCCCCCCCCCCCTTTCCACCAAAGGAATGTGATGTCTTTTTTTGCGGATAAGACTTATTGTTAAAAAGCCAAATAATTGGCTGTTTAGAACTTATTACTGTTTTTTTTTTAAATTACTATACTAACAGTTTTAGACAGTCTATATATGATTTGGATTAACTCGAGTGTTTCAGTGTGTTAGTATACTGCATTCCTATAACAAGGAAACTTGACACACATTAAGTAAACAATTCCCCCGCGACTTCCCCCCCCCCCCCCCCCCCCCCCCCCCCCGTTGCCTGGATAGTTATTGAGACTGTCACCCCCGACAAAAAAATGTGCCTTTTCGGTTTGGTGTCGCTCTAAAACGGTACCACCCGGTGCGAACCAAACCCCCACCCCCTCCCCATTTGTGACGCCCCCCCCCCCCCCCATGATAACGTACGAACCACACCACAAAATACATTCCCATCCCAGCCCTGTTGTTAAGGGAAGAAGACCTTACCCTAACGCTCGATTGCCCCGGGGGATCAAATGACGTGGCAGGCGCGACATCCTGGGTCGCTTCACGCCGAGCCCCTCAAACGTGGCGCTCAAGTACAAATATTTTCTTACACCGCCGTATCTAGTTAACGGATTAATCGAGAGGAAAGCGGGACGGGTTTACATACAGTCACTTCAAGTTACGAACTGGTGGTAAATTATACCTTTCAAAAGCTTAAGTCTCTCTAAACTAACACTTTAGACATAATTTGAAACTGTATTCTACAGGTTGTATACCTGTGGCGTACGCAGAGGGGGAGTCGCTCCCTTTTAGATAATTTCAGCACATTGGCGTCATTTTTCCAACAAAAGAAATACTCTCGTATTCAGAAACTAGATACATGTTATGGGTTGTCACAAAGAGTTCGGTTGATGTTTATGTGTCATTTATTAAGCAGGGACGAAAGCGGTTCTCGTTGTTGATCTTCTTTGACATCACTTTATTCGATAAATAATCAAAGAAAAACCACATCAAAGACGGTTGGTTCAAAACTGATCTTACCTTTGTGAACACCGCTCCGTAATCCTGTTCCTACCTTGTAGACACCGAGTCCAGAGTTTCTTTCAGGTATTTTTAGCGCAATTTCCATACGGACAATTGCGATTATTAACTCGTCATTTCTGGTGATGGATGGATGGATGTGCGCAGCTTTAAGTCGTATCTCCTCCTCAACGAAGCAATATCGAGGACTAGTTCCAAAAGCAAATATCTTAAGCAAGTTCCGAGGATGATTGTGGGCCAAAAAAATTCCCGGAACTCCTTCCTGGATTTCCCGGAAAAGCCAAAATACCTCGAAAAACATGCAGTTTTTTTCCCATATCTCGGCAACCAGACCACTTAGCGACTTGAAACATTTACCAATCGATTCCTGTCATAATTTAGAACAATATTGCAGAAGAAAGTTTTCAAAAATATCCTTTCGTTCGGTCACAAAAAAAATTGTTAATATATTTTAAACTGAGCATCGTGTAGGCCTAGGATATTTACTACTTTTTTAAACTGAGCATCGTGTAGGCCTACTCGTTAAAATAAAACTATTTCCGTTGATATAGGTTAATATATTTGTCTTTTTTTTTTAGCGCAAAAAAATATCTTTTCGTTCGGTCACAAAAAATTAAAAATTGTTATAGATAACATAAGGAAATTGCGCTTAAATTGTCACTAGACTTTTTATTAACTTGCTCGTGGAAGCGAAGGGTCGTCCCCAGATGCAAATTGTCACGTTTACCTTAAAAAGTTCATTGATCCCTGCTGCATTTTTTTATAGCCAGAGTTGATGTCCTTTTTTTACCTTCCACCCCCCCCCCCCCCCCCCACTTCCTAACCCATCTTTTTATATTATAAGCAGGGCGTCGCTTATTTTAATAAGAGGCGGTGGGCTGAGCATGGTTAGAAATAACAAAACTACAACTAGGATACTTTAGATTTTTTTGACTGCCCGTTGTGCTACGGGTAAAAAAAAACCTAGTAAACAAAAGATACAATTTTGTAAAGGTACTCGTGGGACTGACGTGTAAGCTGATATCTTCGAGGGGATGTTGTTTTTTTTTTTTTAAGGAATCTGTTTAGATAGTAACATAAGTACCGTGTACGGCAGTGGTTCTCAAAGTGGGCGGTGTCCGTCCCGTCGTCCCCCCCCCCCCCCCCGCGGGTGTCGGTGATATTATTGTAGGAGCGCGGTTAAATTACCGATACAGATTCACGGGGTTTGGTGGATATAAAACGTTTAAGAGGTTACCAACCGTCTTCTGATCATAATTGTTGTTTTCGTTACGCAAGTCGGTGTAAAATATCTATATCGTTACTTTCAGAAATATTAGAACCGGATAAATTACAACAATTGACGATTAGAGAAGAATGTCTGTTATAATAAAACCTATGACTTATATTTCGCGAATGTGGAATCGAATAACTTTTTATAACATTGTAAGTCGAATGAATCAAATAGTTTTAATGCCAAGTTACCTGTCGTGTTAACAGGCCTAAATTTTTTTTTTTTTTTTTTTTTTTTTTTTTTTTTTTTTTTTTTTTTTTTTTTTTTTGCTTTTAAAAGTTAACAGGCCTAAAGCACAAAAACATCCAGATAGGAAAATGTGTTAATCGTTAGTGTATGTTTGAGGAATTTAAATGCTGATTTCTAAATGCAGAAGTTTGTTGGTTATCAATATTGCATATCTGTAAGGAAAGACTTCTGCACTCAGTTGATTTAATATCACTAATATTCACTTACAAACATTAAATTTATCTGCCCTTATTTAGTTAGCCTCTAAGATTTTGTGAACATTCTATGCGAACACCAGCTCATCTGACTGATCTAGGGATGATCACTGCTACGTAGTTATCTCCCTTTTCGTTTTTAAATAGAGTTATCTCAAAATTAATTTTAATTGCTGATTTAATTTGTAATTGAAAATGTGACTTCCTTGCCTTGTTATCGAAATTATACGCAATGTTTCATACCCGAATCATAGGCGTCTCTTCTTGCCACGTTAAAAAATGTCTGAGCTCGTGTTTGTACTCAGCCGTTCTCGGTCTCCATCCCATCTTTCTAGAGTATTTTACTTACATGTCAGTTTTAAGAAAATATTTAAAGAAAATTTTTATTTAAAAGGGTAGATGCCATATTGTCAGTGGCGTAGGCAGGGGGTGGGGGTTAGGGGGGGGGGTCATAACCCCCCCCCCATAGACCCCTCGGTATATATATAAAAAGTATGAGGGGGGTGCAAATCGAAAGTTTGAGGGGGTGCAAATCGAAAGTTTGAGGGGGGGTGGAAATCGATAGTTTGAGGGAGGGGTGCTAATGTTTGAGGGGGGGGGGGGGTGTGCAAATCGAAAGTTTGAGGGAGGTGCAAATCGAAAGTTTGTCCCCAGGTAAAAATTGGAACCCCCCCCCCCCCCCCTTGAGACGATCCTGGCTACGCCACTGCATATTGTAGCATATCATCGTGACCAAACCTACCAGTACCTCCCCTTCCCATTTAAGGGGAGTGTCGTTGGAATGAAGGTCGTGAAGGACATCTGTTCAGTCTTATCTGCTCTTACCCCCCCCCCCCAACACACATTTCCAGAGGCGTAGCGACCCTTCCCGGCGCCCGGGGACAATCTTTTCGATTTGCACCCCCCCCCCTCATTTTTTATTTGCACACCCCCCCCCCCCCCTCCTCAAACTTTCGATTTGCAACCTCTCGACCTCTCAATTTATTTTTCCAACCCATTTTGGCACCCCCTAAGGTCAGCGCCCGGAGACATATGTCCTTCCCCGCCCCCCCCCCCCCCCCCTCGCTACTCTACTGCACCTTTCCCCCAGTTTTGTACAGTTGTGTTTTAAGAAACCCTGACAATGGATTGCTTTTACTTTCAGTTATCTGTGCTGTTAGTTGAAACAAACACTGTACACAATTCTCTTTAGATTTTCTCTTTTTGTTGTTTGTTTTTTGCTGTTGTTTGTTGCTAGAAAAAAAATTTATGGATCTGGCGAAGAGAAACAACAGGAAAGAAAAATAAATCAAACCAGGCTTTTGACTTAAAATGTTTATTGTCATATCACATTCTAGAGAATTCTAGAGACAAATTTTGTAAAATGCTATAAAACCAGGACTGTGGAGTTTGTTATGTGTGCTAGAACTTGCAAAAAAACTGATTAAGCTCAGATAATATATATATATATATATATATATATATATATATATATATATATATATATATATATATATATATATATATATATATATATATATAATACTTTATTTACAAATTGTTTTTAAAAAAACTAGATAGTCAGCTAATGCTTAATGAAGAGGGTCAAGCATCATGGCTAACTTTAAGATTAAATAGTTTATTTTAAATTACAAATAATGTGCATCGATGATAGCATTCAACATATATTTTTTCTACTTTAGTTGAATGTTAACTAGACTGAGTCTACTCCACTTCCCTGTGTAAGACAAATTCTAAACAACAAAAAAAAAACAACTGAAAAGCATTCACAGCACTGCAAACTTCAATACATTTCTCATACAACTTAGGCCTATATCACACATTATATAAATATTTTTTAATAAAAAGATGTAACATGTGTTATCCACGAGCAATAAACCACACAAACCACATCAAAGCCTATCTAAATGGAATCTTAAACCTGCACTACACTATCAAAATATGCAACATTATACAATGTTCAGGAAAAAAAAACAGTATGTTGATCAAACTGTTTATCTTTCACATATTTATTTATTTTTTAATACAAAAAATAAAAGCATCTCTGGGAGGATATGCTGTTTGGTTAGCTACTTAAAAGACTGACAGCTATTAAATAAGAGATATGACACTAATATTATAAAGGGAGACAACTGTAAAAATATTTTTATCAGTAAAAATGGTTACATTTGCTGAACCTGTTTGCATTAAAAAAAACGTGTGGCAAGTGACTTCAAATTTTTTTTAAAATCTATAAGTTTATACCTATTTACAATCAGAAATTGGAACAAATAATCATATGGCAGAGAGTCATACAAGTCAGAATTGTATCATAATACTGAAAAAAAGTACAATACTGTTTCTGGTAGCTAGCAGCAGTAAAAAAAAAATAATCTGTTTCACATTAGATTATTAACATGGGTGATCTTGTTACATCATAAAACAAACCAGGAAGTTTACAATGGACATACCAAGTTGATGTCAATTTTCAGTACAATTGAAAGACCTAAAAATAGATCTTAAATAATGAACAAGAAACAAAATCTAACAGGCTCAAAAAATAAGTCACAAATTAATTAAATAAATTATTGTATTCAGCTTTAAAAAAAAAACTAAGTAAATATGGACAAAAAAATGCCTAAATTAATGCCTAAATTATTATTAAACATGAGCAGTGTTCTCAAAACAGGAAAAAAAATTAATTTTATAGTGACTCAAATCTTTGGCACTGAATTAACTACGCCTTCTAGAAATTGTGTAGTCAGGACATTAAAAAAATCAATAAAATGCATTCTAAAGCAGTTCTAAAATAGTTTTAAAATCAATGTCTGTGTTACTTGCTTGAAGGCAGTTCTTTATTGACACAATTACAGAAATGAGTTCCATATTATTAATTAGGCTAATTGCCCATAGCAAATTTAATTCAAATCCTTAAAGTTGAAAATATAATAAATAACAGCTTTGTATACTTACTAAAAGGTTGTAAAAATGTGAGAGAATTGTATAGGTTTACCAACAGTTACAATGTACAAAATATCACATTTGAAGGTCATTCTGCAGTTTAAACATAATTTACGTGTGGAGCATCAAAACAATTAGGACTAACATTTTAGTTATGTACTTGGTGATTTTTAAGGTCTAAAACTGCATTATTTTGGAATGTCTACAGTTTTTAAATTCATTGTTTTAATTCAAGATGTCAACATTTTATTTTTCAAATTACATTATGACATTTTGAACAAAAACATATCTTGTTGATCTTAGACCTAGCATTAAATTTAAAAGCTTAAACTTAAAGCTAGCTTTTAGTTTTAAAAAATATAACAATAAAAAAATTTATTTAACAAAGTTTTACATCAAAATGATAAAAGTTTAATTCAGGGAAACTTAAACTGTTTAAATTATATCTGGCAACTTTTACTTCAAATTGTTTAAATTATACTAAGCAGCTTTTCCTCCCTCATCTTTAAAAGTCCACCCAAAAAATCTGATGCAGCCTTGGAGGAATGTATTCACTCGTCTTCATTATAATCTCCCTTTCACTCTAAATTAAACAATTTTAAAAATCTTAAAAATGAAAATAATAATTGGCATATATTTTGCTCTAAATACTTCATTGCCATGATGCAGTAAGATAAACACAAACAGAAAAAGAAAGAAAATGATTTGTGTTGCCAGCTCAGTCTGGTGTATCAACTAGACAAAAAAAAAACAGAAAGATTAAACTGTGGGTTGAGATGGAGTTAAGTATGTTGTACTCATTTCTACAGAAAAGTTAAAACAATTGATAGAAAGGATAAAACAAAGGAAGCGAATGTTCAAACAATTGATGTAAATGTTACAACAATTGATCTAAAGGTTCAAACAATTGATGTAAATGTTCAAACAATTGATGTAAATGTTAAAGCAATTGATGTAAATGTTAAAACAATTGATGTAAAGGTTCAAACAATTGATGTAAAGGTTAAAAAACTGATGTAACAGTTAAAACAATTGATCTAAAGGTTCAAACAATTGATAGAAAGTTAAAACCAATTTTAAACTTGCCTGTATTGGGATCAGATGATCTGCATTGTAAGAGGGGGGATGGCGGTGTAGCCCAGTATTGATGCTGACTCTAAAAAAAAATGGTTTTTTAATACAATTTATTAAAATAAATGTAGGATGTAACATGCATCGGCAGAATTTTATTTACAACATTAAAATCTTATTTTCATTTTTTAAATTATGTGTATCCCTTTATGATAAAATACAAGAATCATTTAAAAAGAAAAAAAACACACAGCAAACTATGTTTTATGCTATTGCTCAAACTATTGAGTTATATATTTTTTACCTACCATTGTTAATGATATCTTTCTGCAGCATTAAAGTAAATAAATATATTAAGTCACCTTAAGTATCCAAAATTAAATTAAATTACAATTGTAATTTGAGATTACTAAAAGAGAGTCATCAATGAAAATGTGTGCAACTTTTTAAATATAGAAAGCTTCTTTTGTCAAAAAAAAAGAATTCCTTTTTAACAAAATATAGAAAAGAAAATTGTTAGTTGTTATGCTTTAAAGCAAAAATGAACAGTAAAAAAGAAAATTATAAAATCCTATTAGTTAAAAAAGATATTTGAATAAAAAAGCAAACAGAAGATTACATACAGAATCAAATTAACTGAAAATGTTATGAAATAATTCATAGGTTAAAACAGAAGATTTAATACTCTTTTTTTTCAGGTAAGTTTGTTTTATTTATTATATTTCATCTGTATTAACACTTGGTTAAGTTAAAAGTTAGATCAACTTGTTTTTGTTTAGGGCCTATATATAAGCAGAATTCTGATTTGGATTTAATCGTAACATAGTCAACGTTTTAAATTCTAATTCAAACAACATAAGAAAAAATCAACCAGCCTTGATTGCCATTTTAAAATATAAATAAACCATTTTCTATTCAAAAAAATTTTAATATAGAAAAAATTCATATGGAAATAATTCATTTGATTTTCTCATTAAATCAGTTCATAACATTAACATTATAATTAATTAATATCTAAGAAAATCATACAGGTAAAACTCATTCACTTCTCTACAAAGCTGACTATTTTATTCGTGTGGACTAAAAAAATTATTGTATGCACAGGTTCCTTGTCATATTCCAATTCAATAACTACAATGCAATATAATCCGAGTCCAAATGAAGGGGCCCAGGCTATAGTATCTTGTAGCAACATTTACCTGGGAAAAAAGGTAAATTGTCACATCCAGAAAATGGGAGAAAAGTTAAATTGTGACACCCAGAAAATGGGGAAAAGGGTAAACTATCACATCTAGAAAATGGCAAAGATTTTTCTGCTTTTACAATAAGACTGCTGTAGAAATTTTCAAATTCGTTATTGTGAACAATTTAAATTTATTTTAATAATGAGGAAATGGACATGTCTACTGATTTAAAGTTAAATTTAGTTTACATGGTTCTCAAAAACTTACAAATATTATTTGAAGATTTTTCTTTGTTGGGTAATTTAGTTGGTTTAATCCAAATTTTACATGGTTTAGTCCTGTTTCTATGCGATTTTATCGAAGCTTTACCAGCTGTCCTGTTGTAAAATGAGAAATTTACAGCTGGGGGAAGAAAAGTAAACAACTAATTCAATAAGTAGAGGGGTAGTGATGGACAGTGGCCAAACAACTAATTCAATAAGTAGAGGGGTAGAGATGGACAGTGGCCAAACAACTAATTCGATAAGTAGAGGGGTAGAGGTGGACAAAGGCCAAACAACTAATTCAATCTGTAGGAGGTAGTCATGGATTGTGGCCAATTAACTCCTTTAGTTTGTAACAAGGGGTAAGGATGAATAGCGGCCAAACTACTAATTCAATGTGTACAAGGTAGTGATGGATTGTGGCCTGATAACAAATTTTATTTGTGGGGAGGGTGCAAGGATTGATGCAGGTCAAGTACACCCAAGCATGTAGGGTCATAGGTCACTCAGTGGGTGGACAAGAGATACAACACATTCATACAAGTTTACTAAAGAAACGAGCATGATTTGGAGTCATATATTTTGTTCTCTAGATTGAGACTAGTGTAACTGTAAAACAGAAAAAAAAAATTAGTATCAAGCTTCTAGACAGGCACTAAGTGAAGCATGCACTAGTTTGTTAGTAAACTGCAAACAAAAATTATCTATAGTTTTCTGATGTATTGTGGGAATGTTAAAAAGCAACTAAATGTACATAATCATTCTTAGTGGGTCAAGCCACTTTATTTAAATGTTTTAGCAGGCATGAAATATTAAAGAATCATTCAATTTATTTAATTTAATTATTATTTGAATGCACTGCCACTTTTTATGATGATTTTTTTTTTAAATATAAAATACATTTCGCAGACAAATAGTTAATTTTATAAAGACTAGACACAGAGTTTAAAAAAAAGACACAGCTCTGTACAGGTTTTTCAACAATCCCAGAGCTAAAGCCCCCAGCCGGGAGACTTGAATGACAAACTGGCACGCTGAGTACCTGGGTGTTAGTACAACTGCAGCACTTTTCAAATTGTTTCCCTTCAAGCCTAAATATGACACAGAAAAAGGAGAGTTGTTTTTAGAGCTGCCAGGGGTTTATTCAAAAACGTAACTACCAAATCTACTTTCAATAAAACTGATGGTCGTTTCATCAAATAGGAAAAAATATTTAAAAAGTAGGATTTTAAAAATTATTTAGAATTAAATTTTTAATTAATCTGACAGAGGAAATTACTTGTGTAGTGTTGCACAGAACTACTAATTAAATAATTCAACTTCAAAATTAAGAATAAGTAAGAAATATGTACCCAACCAATTTATCTAAGGATGTTGCAGTTCCTTAATCTGTTTGATTTGTTAATGTCTGTGTTTTTTCAGTAAATCTAAATCACCAGCTATCTGTTAACTATCAATTTTTTATTTGTTTAAAAAATATACAGCCAATTATATTTTTCACTGTAATTTCTTTCAATAAGTTATTTCATAGTGAAACATGGTCAAAGAGAGGTTAACTGCAAAAGATTAAACAGTTAGTGACTTATTCAGAGATGCATTGAAATCATTTGCTCTTGATTTTTACAATTTAAAACATGCTGAAAGTGGTAAGACCACACACTCAAGAGGCAGAGGAGAGCGAGAATCAAGCAGCTAGTTGCTTTAGATACGTTGTCACTCAAAGCCGATGAACTACATGTTTAGTGGGAGTTAGTGGTCACACTAAAAACATGCTGAAAGTGGTAAGACCACACACTCAAGAGGCAGAGGAGAGCGAGAATCAAGCAGCTAGTTGCTTTAGATATGTTTTCACTCAAAGCCCAAGAACTACATGTTTAGCGGGAGTTAGTGGTCACACCACTGAACACAGGCGAAATCTGAACCTAAATTTTCTCTTCTCACTTTGAGAGACGGCCGCGCCTGCCTGGGCCTGCAGAGAGTGCTCACCCATCTCTGCCGCGTCTGAAATTATGGCCCTGTGCTGGGATTGTTTTCTGCGTCGGTGCAACCATTTTGTGTTTACCCCAGCCCCATTCTGACCTTTGACACTTGAACTGTTCTTGCTGACGACAGAGTTTGATTTCCGTCGTGTCAGGGTGTTGACCTTCTTCCGCCTCTTGATGTTGTCACTGAAGAAGGTAACAAAAACTATAACAAAAAATATAACAACACTTAAAGTAAAAGATAATATTGAACATAGTTTTATTTACTTTTCATAGATTCAGAAGAAATGAACTAAACAAATTATTTAATTATGGGAGAAGGTTAATACATGTGTTATCCTGACATTCGCAAACAAAACAATCAGCAATCGTTCAAATTTTACAGAAAAAGCTAGAGTAGTTCGCAAATCTGAATCAGAAATATTAATGCAAAGAGGATATTTAAATATTTTATTAGATTTGTTTTTCTAAATCCCACTCTTTAAGCACTGAGTCAGCAGTGACTTCATGTATTTTTTTAAAGTTATGTACACACAGGCTAGTAACACTGAAAGCATTAGGGGTCAGTTTGGAGATAGACAAAAGATTATACATTCCAGAAGATTATCCATACAGGAACAGGTAAAAATGGCTAGATTATTAATAAATAAAATATCTAACTACAATGTGGCTATTGATCTGGTCTTTGTTTCAAATGTAACAAGAATTTTTTAAATAAAAATTATCAAGAAAAAAATCTAATAACTATAAATTTTCTGTTGGTACATAAAAGCTTTGCTGAGGCTAGCCTCACATTTACCTGATCTGTGATCTTTTCACTGATGGTCCTTCTGGGTTGTTGAGTGCCTTCAGAGGTTCTGGAACTTTGGGCACACCTTCCAGTTCCAGCATGCCCTCAGACTGGGTGAACCTGCCTGAGGCAGACCCTGACCAGGTCTGGCTGGCACGGGAACCCTGGCGTAGATTTCCTGCCAGGTCCACGATGGGGGAGGCTGGCAAACGGAACTGTGACTTGCCAGTTGGAAGTGGGATGCGACTGGGTATTGGCCTTTTGTGGATCTGACAACAAATAAAAGTTTATCTAAAACAATTTAATTCTTAGAAGCTGGCTATTAAAAACTAATTTTTAGAAATTCTGTTACTTACAATAAAAATGTTAGATTTCTATGATTAACTCACATTTAAATTAAAACTATGATCTAAGTAATAAGTATAGAAATTTTAAAACTATAAAACCTATTTATCTAATTAATTCAAATATTGTTTAAAAATTCTAAACAACTAATTTTTTAAAAATAAATACGATTAAAATATAACAATTCTTCAAACACCGACCGTATGCCAGTGCAGCTTTTTAAAAAATCTATGACCTCATCTGCTTTGGTAATTGGACTTTACTCTCTTCCCTGGCCCTGACCAATCTATGACCTCACCTGACCCTGACCAATCTATGACCTCACCTAGCCCTGACCAATCTATGACCTCACCTGGCCCTGACCAATCTATGACCTCACCTAGCCCTGACCAATCTATGACCTCACCTAGCCCTGACCAATCTATGACCTCACCTAGCCCTGACCAATCTATGACCTCACCTAGCCCTGACCAATCTATGACCTCACCTGGCCCTGACCAATCTATGACCTCACCTAGCCCTGACCAATCTATGACCTCACCTAGCCCTGACCAATCTATGACCTCACCTGCCCTGACCAATCTATGACCTCACCTAGCCCTGACCAATCTATCACCTCATCTAGCCCTGACCAATCTATGACCTCACCCAGCCCTGACCAATCTATGACCTCACCTAGCCCTGACCAATCAATGACCTCACCTAGCCTTGACCAATCTATGACCTAACCTGCCCTGACAAATCTATGACCTCACCTAGCCCTGACCAATCTATGACCTAACCTGCCCTGACAAATCTATGACCTCACCTAGCCCTGACCAATCTATGACCACACCTAGCCCTGACCAATCTATGACCTCACCTGCTTTGGTAAAAGAACTTTACTCTCCTCCCTGGCTCTGACCAATCTATGACCTCACCTGACCCTGACCAATCTATGACCTCACCTGCTTTGGTAGAAGAACTTTACTCTCCTCCCTGGCTCTGACCAATCTATGACCTCACCTGGCCCTGACCAATCTATGACCTCACCTAGCCCTGACCAATCTATGACCTCACCTGCCCTGACCAATCTATGACCTCACCTAGCCCTGACCAATCTATCACCTCATCTAGCCCTGACCAATCTATGACCTCACCCAGCCCTGACCAATCTATGACCTCACCTAGCCCTGACCAATCAATGACCTCACCTAGCCTTGACCAATCTATGACCTAACCTGCCCTGACAAATCTATGACCTCACCTAGCCCTGACCAATCTATGACCTAACCTGCCCTGACAAATCTATGACCTCACCTAGCCCTGACCAATCTATGACCACACCTAGCCCTGACCAATCTATGACCTCACCTGCTTTGGTAAAAGAACTTTACTCTCCTCCCTGGCTCTGACCAATCTATGACCTCACCTGACCCTGACCAATCTATGACCTCACCTAGCCCTGACCAATCTATGACCACACCTAGCCCTGACCAATCTATGACCTCACCTGCTTTGGTAAAAGAACTTTACTCTCCTCCCTGGCTCTGACCAATCTATGACCTCACCTGACCCTGACCAATCTATGACCTCACCTGCTTTGGTAGAAGAACTTTACTCTCCTCCCTGGCTCTGACCAATCTATGACCTCACCTGGCCCTGACCAATCTATGACCTCACCTAGCCCTGACCAATCTATGACCTCACCTGCCCTGACCAATCTATGACCTCACCTAGCCCTGACCAATCTATCACCTCATCTAGCCCTGACCAATCTATGACCTCACCCAGCCCTGACCAATCTATGACCTCACCTAGCCCTGACCAATCTATGACCTCACCTGGCCCTGACCAATCTATGACCTCACCTGGCCCTGACCAATCTATGACCTCACCTGGCCCTGACCAATCTATGACCTCACCTGGCCCTGACCAATCTATGACCTCACCTGGCCCTGACCAATCTATGACCTCACCTGGCCCTGACCAATCTATGACCTTACCTGCTTTGGTAGAAGAACTTTACTCTCTTCCCTGGCCCTGACCAATCTATGACCTCACCTGGCCCTGACCAATCTATGACCTCACCTAACCCTGACCAATCTATGACCTCACCTGTTTTGGTAAAAGAACTTTACTCTCCTCCCTGGCTCTAACCGTTGGGTTGACCTCCAGGAGCTGAGACGCCAGAGACCCCTCAGTCTCCATACACTTGAGGTTCGGCTCCGCAGCCTGCACATGTCCAGTCCTCTGGTCATCTGCCCCAGCGGACATGGTCAGTGTGACAGGAGAGATGTTATTTTTAGCCCGTGCTCTCAGGGTGGGAGCCTGGGTGAAGGATGTCCGTCTCAGCAGGGGTTGAGGGTTTCTAGTTGCTGGAGAAAAAAATCCAGAATTTTAAACTTAGAATTTTTTTTCTCAAATATAAAAACCAGGATACAATAAAAATAACCACTATTCCTATCTAAATTAACTTACTAGAAAATTTTTTAATAATAATTTTTTTTTATCTTTAATTATTATTTGTTCTATTTTAAAATGTTATGGTGCAGTGTGGTCAGGCAGGGGTCGGCGTGGTCGAGTCGGTAAAGCTCATGGTTGCTAAACCGAAAAGTCTCGAGTTCGAACCCTCGGGCAGAGGAGGCTCGTAAGCTGGGGACAGCCACTCTTCTAGGAGAGACAACTCCAAAATTAAAACAACTGCTGCCTTGTAGTTTGTTCTTGGTTGGACAAAGGCTATGGAAGCAAATCCAAAAAGAAAAGCAGGCTGAAATCGGAGTCAATGGCCTCAATGGCGCATAACCAGTTGACACGTAACGCTTAATTGTGTTGGAGGCGTGGTCGAGTCGGCAAAAAGCTCTCGAGTTCATACCCTCAGGCAGATGAGGCTCGATCCCTCCCAACACTAATAATTAAGAACGAAGAAGAAGAAGAAGTGTGGTCAGGCATTACAGTACACAAATACTAACTCAACTCTGTTGAATGTTGCTGAGACGACCCATCTCAAATAAATTACTTGACCCATGAAAGATAAAGTAGAGGCGGCTGGGCATAGAAGTGACCAATTACCCAGGTCAGTCAAACAGAACAACTTTACCTTACTTGCCTTACATGGAAAAATTAATAAAAGTAAACACTTTACTCTTTTAAAATTTTAAGTTTCCTCCCCTGGACCTACCTTCTCTAACAGGCCCTGTTCTAAGCTACTATTTTAAAGAGTTTCCTCCCCTGGACCTACCTTCTCTAACAGGCCCTGTTCTAAGCTACTATTTTAAAGAGTTTCCTCCCCTGGACCTACCTTCTCTAACAAGCCCAGTTTTAAGTTACTATTTTAAAGAGTTTCCTACCCTGGACCTAACTGCTCTAACAGGCCCTGTTCTAAGCTACTATTTTAAAGAGCTTCCTACCCTGGACCTACCTTCTCTAACAGGCCCTGTTCTAAGTTACTATTTTAAAGAGTTTCCTACCCTGGACCTACCTTCTCTAACAGGCCCTGTTCTAAGTTACTATTTTAAAGAGTTTCCTACCCTGGACCTACCTTCTCTAACAGGCCCTGTTCTAAGTTACTATTTTAAAGAGTTTCCTACCCTGGACCTACCTTCTCTTACAGGCCCTGTTCTAAGTTACTATTTTAAAGAGTTTCCTACCCTGGACCTGGACCCACCTTCTCTTACAGGAGCCAGCTCTCGCTTCAAGTGGGCAGCGTTGGCTGAGCCAGCATTGTGTGGACGTGGGTACAAACGACTCGAGACCTCCACCACTTGTTTGGCTCTTAAGTTGCCAGAACTTGTTCCAATCTCAGAGGTACTTGCTCTCCTAACCTGGTTGGTGACTGGTCTGCAACAAACTCCATTTGTATAACATTTGAATAACATTTCACTGATAACGACAAAGAATTTTTCTTACATTTCTGGAAAAAGCTGAAAAATGTTTGACTGTGGCTGAGAAAAGTTAGCTAATAAGAGCATGGTCGAGGTGGTTAAGCTCATGGTTGCTAAGCCGAAAAGTCTCGAGTTCGAACCTTCGGGCAGATGAGGCTTGTTAACTGGGGACAGCCACTCTTCTAGGAGAGAAAACTCCAAAATCAAACAACTGCTGCCTTGTAGTTTGTTCTTGGTTGGACAAAGGCTATGGAAGCAAATCCAAAAAGAAAAGCAGGCTGAAATCGGATCCCTTCCAACACTATAAATTAAGAACAAAGAAGAAGAAGAGTAAACTTCAAATCACTTGCTTGATGTGCTTGAATCTACACATCCTTGATGGGTATGTGACTCAAAATGAAGAAACTAAAGGCAGTAGGGCAAAGTACACTGGCATAGACCATGTTTTCCCTTCATATGTTAGGTCAAGTTTTATTTGATACAGGTGAACACTACTTCAGTTTTATTATTACCTATCAACTTCATAACCATATTTTACTTTTACAGTACACAAACTATAGCAAAATGTTTTCACAAAATTTTAAACTGTGGAAAAAGTATTTCAAGTTTTTAAAGCAAGTAACATGTAACCTCATTAATCTAGTTGTAAGTTTAAAATAACGCACCCAGAAGTTTTAATGTTTGTGATCTTGTAGGCCGTGACTCTTGTTGTTTTCGGCTGTCCACGGAGTCCTCGCAGGTAACGCCTGACTGCCTCCCTGACGCCGTACAGGGTGCTGTGCTCTGACATGACAACACGAGACCAGGGGTTGGCATCCACCAGATCCAGACAAGCAATAGCCAGCGCTTTACCCACCTAGATAAAAGTTGTCTATTAGAACATTCCAGACAAGCAATGGCCAGAGCTTTACCCACCTAGATAAAAGTTGTCTATAAGAACATTCCAGACAAGCAATGGCCAGAGCTTTACCCACCTAGATAAAAGTTGTCTATTAGAACATTCTAGACAAGCAATGGCCAGAGCTTTACCCACCTAGATAAAAGTTGTCTATAAGAACATTCCAGACAAGCAATGGCCAGAGCTTTACCCACCTAGATAAAAGTTGTCTATTAGAACATTCTAGACAAGCAATGGCCAGAGCTTTACCCACCTAGATAAAAGTTGTCTATAAGAACATTCCAGACAAGCAATGGCCAGAGCTTTACCCACCTAGATAAAAGTTGTCTATAAGAACATTCCAGACAAGCAATGGCCAGCGCTTTACCCACCTAGATAAAAGTTGTCTATTAGAACATTCTAGACAAGCAATGGCCAGAGCTTTACCCACCTAGATAAAAGTTGTCTATAAGAACATTTCAGACAAGCAATGGCCAGAGCTTTACCCACCTAGATAAAAGTTGTCTATAAGAACATTCTAGACAAGCTATGGCCAGAGCTTTACCCACCTAGATAAAAGTTGTCTATAAGAACATTCTGAACAAGCAATGGCCAGAGCTTTACCCACCTAGATAAAAGTTGTCTATTAGAACATTCCAGACAAGCAATGGCTAGAGCTTTACCCACCTAGATAAAAGTTGTCTATAAGAACATTCCAGACAAGCAATGGCCAGAGCTTTACCCACCTAGATAAAAGTTGTCTATTAGAACATTCTAGACAAGCAATGGCCAGAGCTTTACCCACCTAGATAAAAGTTGTCTATAAGAACATTCCAGACAAGCAATGGCCAGAGCTTTACCCACCTAGATAAAAGTTGTCTATAAGAACATTCCAGACAAGCAATGGCCAGCGCTTTACCCACCTAGATAAAAGTTGTCTATTAGAACATTCTAGACAAGCAATGGCCAGAGCTTTACCCACCTAGATAAAAGTTGTCTATAAGAACATTTCAGACAAGCAATGGCCAGAGCTTTACCCACCTAGATAAAAGTTGTCTATAAGAACATTCTAGACAAGCTATGGCCAGAGCTTTACCCACCTAGATAAAAGTTGTCTATAAGAACATTCTGAACAAGCAATGGCCAGAGCTTTACCCACCTAGATAAAAGTTGTCTATTAGAACATTCCAGACAAGCAATGGCTAGAGCTTTACCCACCTAGATAAAAGTTGTCTATAAGAACATTCTAGACAAGCAATGGCCAGAGCTTTACCCACCTTGATAAAAGTTGTCTATAAGAACATTGGTGGTCATAACATTCACACATACACTGTACATTCAAACAAAAGAATAGTTGTATGTATAAATATGAGTTATCATAGTGGTCAGACAAAGGTTATCTGTACAAAAGAAGTGGTCAGACAAAGGTTATCTGTATAAAAGAAGTGGTCAGACAAAAGTTTTCTATACAAAACAGAAGTCAGACAAAAGTTGTCAGTACAAAAGAAGTGGTCAAACAAAAGTTGTCCATACAAATATTAGTTGTCCTAGTTATCAAACAAAACTTGTCAATACAGACAATAAATGCTTGCAGTGGCTGTATTCATTTCAATTACACATCATTCTTAGTCTAGTGCAAAGGTAGGCTTCTTTAGCTCACTGAACTTACATCTTCAAAGTGTAATGGGGTGTATTTTGGTGGGAAGCTTGCTGCTGGGGGTGGAGTAGCTCTGCCTTCATCTCCGTACGCCTGAGGGACTGGGTTTACCATGCGCCCAGTGTTGTAATTACACTCCAGGGTATAACTGATGATAAAAATAAAATAAATTTTCAGACAACCCATGCAGTGTTCACCACTTTAGTTATTTTCTTCACCATGCAGTAATGCTTTAGCTCAGCACGCTTTGAGCTTAGGGTAAAATTTATAAAAAATTTCAAATCAGTCAGAGTATATGGTTGGGGCTTGGCTGTCTTAGATAAGGTTAGGTTCTATATAGCAAGGCTATGTTTTTGGGATTTTGGCTAGGCTGTTTGGGTTAACCTCTCTGGGCCAAAGCTAGGTTTTGGGGTTTGTGCTGGGCTGTTTGGGAAAGGACTAAGCTTTTGGATTTGGGCTAGGACTAGGATTTTGAGTTTAGGCTAGGTTCTTTATGTTAGGGCTAAGCTGGGTTTAACTATGGATTAAGGCTAGTCTTTTAGATTCGGGCTATTTGGGATACGACTCATTGGATTAGATTGAGGCTGATTGGGTTTGAGCTTGACTTTTGGATTAAGGTTAGACCATTGATTTTTTTTATTACATACAATTTTCACTATGAAATACATTCCACCCACCTGTGAATGATGCCAATGGCTTTGTAAATGGCCACCCGACCACTCCCCTCTTTAGACATGCCATCCCTTTTGTCTTTCTGATACATGTTCTTTTCAGAGAAGTTGCAGGCAGTGAAATCAAAGTGGGCCGTATTCATGGCCACCAGCTTTGGGTAAAGCATATTATCCACCTAAAGATGATGAAGTTTTATAGAGGGCATGTTTTTGCTTATTAGATAAACAATAAAAATTAGAACTTTTCAGATTAACTAATTGAAAAAATATATATAGATAGCTTAGATTTTCTTTTATTTTTTAAAGTGAATATGTGCTTATATAAAATACACAAATTTAAGCTATTTGAAAAAAATAAATGAACAATTTATATTTTAATTATCAAAATTAACTAATGAAATAGTGAGATCAAATTTCTAGACAATTTATACAAGGGGAAATTATTGTGTATCTGGACTGTATGATTTAAACTAGACAGTCCATATTGACTGATAGTTAATCTATTTCTATTAACTTGGCATATGAAGGGATGATTTGGTCAAAACTACACCCCAGGCAATCTTAATCACCCTGCATATACATTATGGGTGGACTTAATAACACAAGCTCAGTGACTATCTCTAAACTATCATGTTAACCGTTACAAAATTTCCATTCAACCTTACTTCCCATAACACTAAACAAACTATCAATCATGTAAACAATCAACTTTTTAATGGAAAATACAGTTTGACAAGTTGAATTGACAAAACATTATAAAATCAATCACCTGCGCTTCTTCATTTTCAAAGTAGTTCCCATAAATAAAACATCCGCGTTTGGAGGCGTGCCCGTGCAGATCAATGTACATGGCAATGCCACTAGCATGTGGAGGGATCTTCAGAAGCTCTGGGTCACGCAAGTGCGGGGCATTGGACCCATCCCCCACATCTGAAGTATCGTAGTCGTCCTCCCCCTCGGAGCCCTCGTTGCCCAGCTGGTCTGTCTGTGTGTCCTCATCATCAGTGTCAACACCCAGGCTTAGGGCACTACAACCAGCAGTCATTAATGAGCTTACTAATTGAAAGCTTCATCTTTTTTTTAATTGCATGTACCATTTTTATAATAGTAATATTTTATAATAATTACACATAACAATAATAATATTTTAAAAATAATAATAATTTATAAATATACATAGGTCCAAATAATAATAATAATAATAATCAGAATAGTAATTTACACAGGCCTACTTATGATATTAAATGAGTGATAAAATTTGCTTTTACAGTAAATGCCCAAGACACATGGGGCAGATGAAGTAGAGTTTATCTGTTTTAATTATCTGAGCATAAAATAGGAAAATGTGGTCAGTACTATGTCAAGCAACCTTTGTTTCTCTAATGTGAGTAAGATACCCATCAGAGCTGGATGGGCCAATAAAAATAAAGTAAGATTTAAGATGAAATATCACTGACATTTTGGAAGTTTTTTAACAGCAACCTATAATAAACATGAAGTTAAAAAACAAAAGTGACAAAAAAATGAACTTGCCTATGTTTATGATATTCCTCAGACATATTTAGTGAAGACAGTTTCAGTCTCAGATCCGAATCAACCCTTTTCACTTCCAAATACTTCCCATTGTTTTCATTTGGATCAAATAAACTGATCTGTTTTGTTAAATTATAGCATGTAAACAATAATATTTAGATAAAGTAATACCTTTTTATTTATTTCAATAGAAGGCCTACATTAAGACTTTACTTACTATTACTTTCCAGATCAATATGAGTTTAGTGAACAACAGGGTATGGGCAGTTGCAAATATACAAGTTTTAACTGGTATTTGAACTCAAGTTTTGAATTTAAAGTAAAAATGAATATAAAATATAAGAATGAATTAATGACTCAGTTAAAAAACTTATTAGAACTATCACAATGGAAAACTTCAACAATATTGTACATAGTTCAGACTTACACATATTAACACTTACAACAATAAGACTCAACACACAAAAACAATAAGACATCTATAAGACAGGTCTCTTAAACATCTAAAGGAAAGACCACTTACAACATCTAAAACAAAAACCACTTACAACATCTAAAATTAGGACCACTTACAACAACATCTAAAAGAAAGAAAGACCACTTACAACAACATCTAAAAGAAAGACCACTTACAACAACATCTAAAAGAATGACCACTTACAACAACATCTAAAATTAGGACCACTTACAACAACATCTAAAAGAAAGAAAGACCACTTACAACAACATCTAAAAGAAAGACCACTTACAACAACATCTAAAAGAATGACCACTTACAACAACATCTAAAAGAAAGACCACTTATAACAACATCTAAAAGAAAGAAAGACCACTTACAACAACATCTAAAACAAAGACCACTTAAAACAATATCTAAAAGAAAGAAAGACCACTTACACCAACATCTAAAAGAAAGACCACTTACACCAACATCTAAAAGAAAGACCACTTACACCAACATCTAAAAGAAAGACCACTTACACCAACATCTAAAAGAAAGAAAGACCACTTACACCAACATCTAAAAGAAAGAAAGACCACTTACAACAACATCTAAAAGAAAGAAAGACCACTTACACCAACATCTAAAAAAAAAAGAAAGACCACTTACAACAACATCTAAAAGAAAGAAAGACCACTTACACCAACATCTAAAACAAAGACCACTTACACCAACATCTAAAACAAAGACCACTTACACCAACATCTAAAACAAAGACCACTTACACCAACATCTAAAACAAAGACCACTTACACCAACATCTAAAACAAAGACCACTTACACCAACATCTAAAACAAAGACCACTTACACCAACATCTAAAACAAAGACCACTTACACCAACATCTAAAACAAAGACCACTTACACCAACATCTAAAACAAAGACCACTTACACCAACATCTAAAACAAAGACCACTTACACCAACATCTAAAACAAAGACCACTTACACCAACATCTAAAATAAAGATGACTTACACCACTACTGTCTGATGATGAGAGATGAGCATCCTTCTCATGTTTAACCGAAGACTCGCTGTCTCTCAGACCAGCTAGGTTTAACGGTTCAACAAGCACAGGTACCGCAGGGTACCCCTGGGTCAGGCTGTCCATCATGTTAGACTGATTATACTGACCACGGACTGGACTCACTGAGCGGGCTGGTTGCAAGACAGTTCTGACATCCCCCTCCACAGCAGACCGCAGCTCCAGGTTGTGTTTGTAGTTTTGTTTTGGTATGGGCTGCAGTGAACAGAGAGCAGGAGAATCCTCACAAGGGGCATGACTCTTTGTTTTATCCAGCTCTGCTAGTGAAGTTCTGAGTTGGTGTTCCTGGTGGAACTGCTGGTAGGAATGGGTGCTGTATTTTGGCTGACCACTGTCCCCTGCATCAACAGATCTTCTAGATGACAAAGGAGGAAGGTTGGTACTAGAAGCGTGAGTTGGCCAACAGGGAATATCAGCTTGGGTTTCACCATACTCAGTGTTGTATAATGTATCTGTGGTTATCTTCTGGGTTTGGTTGGCATCAGAGCTATGAACAGCTAAACTATCTACAAGGGTGATGAACGGTTCGTATAAAGCCTGAGACATATTGATGACTTCAGAAGGTTGGTCTAAGCTGCTTTGTGACTGGGTGGTAGTGGTGAAATCAGAAAAATTTCCAGACATATTGTGTGGACCAGTCTGAAACAATTGTGTAGGAACTTGCTCCTTGCTTGGGAAGTTAATATTTACACTGTTCACACTCCCTTCACTAGGAAACTGGATATTGATATTGTTCACACTCCCCTCACCGGGGAACTGAATATTAACATTGTTTACGCCCCCTTCGCAAGGGAACTGAATATTTAGATTGTTCACACTTCCCTCGCAAGGTTCCTTCTCCTGAACATGATGGTAGATAATTAAACTTTTAGCCGCATAGATAGACGGATGCATTATCGGGCTAGGGTCAAGATAGACACGATTTAAGTTCACACCTCTCGGGTCAGTCCGATAATGTCCCCTCACAACGCCATCGGGGTTCAGCATGGGAATGAGTTTGAAAATAAACCGCTGCCTGAGTTGCTGTGCTCTGGGGTCGCCCTCGCGTAAGATGAAGTTGAGAAACCCATTGAAAACATGGCTGGCTGGTGTTTCCCCTGGGTGTACTCGACTGCTCAATACAAACACCTGGTAAAAAAAATTTAATTTCAGTGCTCGATATATATTTTTTAAAAATTTCTACCATAAAAGTCTTATTTCAAACCTGGTGAAAAATAAAATTTTACATACTCCGATTTTGCTTTCTTTAGAAAAAAACTTAAATGCCTAGTTTCTAAATCACAAATTTTAGACAGATCTAATTTAAAGATAAAAATATTATTATTGAAATGATGATAAAAAACAGAGCAAAGGCCAATAACCTTTTTTCCTACAAATCTTTTACACCTGGGTTTATCTTTGTCTGGAAAAAGATTCCGGTCAAATCTGGGCTCTGTGTGTTCTGTTAGTCCATGGCATGACGAGATTGTAATTAGGTCGACTCTCAGCTTGTCTAAAGTGTGACACAGCAGTTCACGATGGTAGTAAATATTATCTGGATCTCTGAAAGAATATTTACATTTAACATAAACCTCAACAGCTTATCAAAGCAGTATTAAAGAATATTATGAACGATAGTATAGGGGAAAAAATGCCTACTTAGAATACCTACACACTTTTTATAAGTGGTAGTCAATATTTTCAGGATCCCTAATAATCAAAAGGAAAACTTACGGTTTAAAATCAGTATATATCCTACAATACAGTCTTATTTTTATATAAGTAATAAATCAATCTATCAAAAAAAAATTCAAATTATTTTCAACCACGTTTTTCAGCATAGGTTTAAAAATGACAAGTTATAAAACATGACTAACACTTCTGGAGTGTAGTTCTGGCAGTGCAAAAATTTTTTGTCTAGCTCCTCTAGCTGGCTTTGGCTCTCTGTATAAGACCAAGGGTAGCAAAAGGCAAAATAGGCTGTGCCACTTTTAAGGTCAGGAAATCTGTACGTGAACCGTAAAATAAACTGACCATCAATATTCTGAGGAACAGAAGATACAAGTCAAAGATTATATTTTCAATCTGTTTAAGTTAAAACATGCATTCTTTGCACCTGTATTCACATGAATAGACACTGATTTTTTTAAACTGAGAATTATAGTTTTTGTGTCATTAATTATAAATACTGTAAGTAATAAATCCGGGATTTAACAACAGCAATGATAATTTTTTTATAGTTTAAAATTGTTAATTAAAAGAAAAGTAATTTTCTTTGGTAATTGATTCTATTTATTGAATAAATAAAAAAAAGACATAAAATATATAAAATAGTTTGTGACTATAGAAGCGCGTACTTCAAAAGATGGTCTATCCCTGATCCTTTCCCATTTGGGCTTCCCTGGCATTATCCTAACAATTGGTGTCAAACCTTGACTATACAGTTTACCCTGTCTATTCATGTTCATGATGTTGATCTTAATGACCCTGCTGCTGGCCCAGCCTCGCACACCAAAGTAAAACCAGGATCTACAGAGTCAAACAGATACTATAGATAATATAACTAGATAACAAACAGATACTATAGATAATATAACTAGATAACATTGCAGAATAAATCTTCTATATTACGATGACTTATCTACAGGATGATACTATAGGTTCAATATTTTAATTTACTATAATAATAATTGTATTTCAAAAATATGCGCGCCCTAAGTTTGAATAATCAACTATTACTAAAGTTATACAAATTATAGGCCAAAAATGTTACCACTTGGGTTTAATATAATTTAAAAGAAAACAAATTCATATATTTAAATATATATATATATATATATATGACAATTTACTGATCCACTCTAGTAATTCAAACTAAGTCCATTATAAAAATTTAATTTTTATTTGCTAGAAATGTAGGCTACATTTGGAGACATTGAAATGAAATATAATAGCATATAATCGGTAACCTATGAACTGTATTGAGTATAATTGCATTGATATCAATGAACAAACTAATTTAGCTTGAAATAATTGAACATTGTATTGTCAAAGCTTCCCTGAAAATTTCAGCGCGCTAGCTAACTGGGAAGTGCCCGAAATTTTGATCGCAAGATTTGATTGGAAAAACAGACGCGAAAGCAAGTTAAAGAAAACGTGGGGAAAATGTAGCCCTACTATGTCATAACTTACAATCTTTAAATAGTTTATTGAATTATTTTTGTTCAATTTGATTGTTAGATTATAAATGAGTTGAGTGATTACCGATTTGGATTTTCATATGGTGTACCTTCACAGTCTGGCTTAGTCCACACATTAAACTCATAATCAACCTTTGCTTCAATGCCAAGGCCAGTGTACAAACTGCCTGCTGGAGCTGTTGTGCCTGCTATCAATGTTAAACTTTGTTTAAACTGGTTAAAATATACAACGATTAGCAGTAATTTTTTTTAAAACTAATGGAGTTTACAAATAGCCTACTAAGACTTGGTCACTTATACAAAAATGTGAACTAAAATGAAAGTTATCTTAAGTATTCTAGAAAATTCATGATCTTAAAAAAATATTTTTAAATACCATTTTCTGTTTCTTCTTCAGGTTTTAAGACCTTCTCAACACGTGCTAAATTTCCAGAGTCAAAGTTTGACGTAAAGCACAAGCCACCAATTTTTATTTCCATATTTTAACTTCAGTAGTCGCGTCCTAGATCATCTAGAAAGGCATACACACAATACAATATTTTTTTCATTAATATAAATAAAAAGGAAAGGCATATTCATTTTACTTAAAACATAGCTAAAGTTATCAAAAATAATAATGCTATTAGATTTCCATTAACATTTAAATGGCTTTTAATTAAATTTGCAACAATATTTGTATAAGTCTTCATACATTTTATACATTGTGAATTATTTTTTTAAAATACATCAATGATGTGTAAAATTTAATTTAAATCATTTAAGTTTTAATCTTTCTTTCCATATGGTTTAATACATTACTCTTTACCTATTTACCTTCTTTTTTTACTTGCATCATTAAGAAGACAAAAGATATCATTCATTTTATTGATATCATTCGTGTTCAAAGTAGTTAGCAGCAATCATCCCTCTTCACTCAGTCCATAATTTAAGATTCACTAGCATCTGCTAAAAGAAAAGATTAGCAATTTTTTTTTAAATGTATAATCAAAATTAAAATAATGTACATGTGTTAATAAAAATCAAATATTTATTTAAAGAGTAGAGCAATACAATTAAAGTGGATGTGACTGTTTATTGAACAGATGAGGTAAAGATAATTTGTTTCTGTAGTTATGGCACATACAACACACATGGGTTTTATCACCATTTACATTTAATTTCCCCACTAGAACAAGAAGAGACCAGAAACATAAAACAGATAAGTCAGAAAATGAAAATAAAACCACTAGTCCTAAGTGTGACGTTTGGAGTCATAAATCTATCAGATTAACTAAATATTATAAAGATCCAGCACTTTTATTTGTTCCTTAAATGACAAAGTGATTTAAAATAATATGTGCTTACTATTAGCAATTTTCATATAATTTTTAAAAATAAAATGCATAAGAAATCTATATGGTCATATTTATCTTTCTAGTTTCATAAATAGCCAGAATTAAAACATTTTTAATTCTGGCTGATAAGGCTCGATCCCCTCCAACACTAAAAATTAAGAACGAAGATAGTGTGGACCCTGTTGAATTGTAAATAATTAGTACTTCTACAGAGAATATTGTAGCTGAAAAGAAATGTTTATCAAACTAGCTGCTTATATTTTTAGTTTAAATATTTGCATAGGTAGTAGGACTAATATGTAAAAGTATGTAAGCCTTGGCTATAGCAAATAATATGAATATTAACTTATACAGTTATTGGCCAATGTTTAAAATTTTGATCATAAGAGGTAGGGGAAATAGAATACACTAGTAGCAATTTTTAAGCCATCCAAATATTTTGTCTGCTGTGAACTGAAACAGATTGTAAAATATAATTTGATGAGTGCTGATCTGTAAATTATAATTTATATAACCAAGAAATGGGTGCAAAGTTTTTTTTTTATATTTTAATTAACACCTATAGGCCTAGGCCTTGTGTATAGGTTATAGGGCATAGGGTAAACTATGATAAAGAAGGGCACTAGGCATTATGTGGTAAAACATGTAGTTTTTTAAAATAAATCAGTTTAACTTAAGCCTATCCTAATGCACTATTCAAAACAGCCAATCAAATACCAATACTATAGACTGTAATGCATATAGACTCTATACTACTCTATAGCAATAGACCTATATATTATTATATTAATTCATATAATAGACCTACATGATATATAGGCCTACTTAGGCATCATATAAATATAGGGGCATACTATAAACTATATAGGCCTACTGACAGTACGTGACAGTAGTATAGAATATTAATAATATTATTAATATTGTAGCATCGTGTGTGATAGATCTAATTTAGAAATAGAATCTAGGCCTAAATGTGAGATGTTCTGACACTTGATAGAGAATATGATGAATAATGTTAATCTTTACTTAATACTTAGGCCTAACATTTTTTAAAAGTTCTTGTTGTGACAATACAATAATAATATTTTTTATAGGCCTATAGCCTACCTGGCCTACCTAGATCTAGGCCTGTAACTACAAGTACAATGCTTTAAATTTAATGAATTGGTAATCTATCGTTTTAGGTACGTAAAATCGCCCGCGACTAGTAATGTGAAAGACAGGTGACTCCTTGAATTTTAATAATTATTTCACATTTTGAGGAGGATATATGTTTTGAAAAATACAAAAATGATTCCTTGTTTCATTTATGTACCTGTTTTTAAACAACTGAATTGAAACTTTTCAGTAATAAATGAAGACTAGCGATGTTTCCAACAGATGCAACCATGCTCATTTACTATAGCAGCCATCTTGTTTAAGTTCTTTTTTTGCAAACTTAAAGCGCCAGATTCAGGGGAAGGCAACTCTATTTTACAAATGGCTGCTGTTTATATAGGAAATCTTGCTCGCAAACACTGCTATTTAAAGTTAATTTCTGGTCTATATTGATATATTTAGCCATTGATTTAGGTTTATTATTCATTTATCTATAATATTTGACCCAAATATATCACAATATACTTCTATTAAAGCCTTGACAGTGAGGCAACTTTTTCGCGCATTTCTAGCCGCGGGCGATTTTACGTACCCAAAACGATAGATTACCAATGAATTTAATGTCCTGCTCTAGATTAATTTTAGGCCTAGGCACTAGGCCCTATATAAAAATAATATATTCAATTTTATTTTTAGGGCCTAGGCCTATTCAAGAGTATACTAAAAATTATAACATAGGCCTACATAAATTTAATATATAAATTAGGCCTAAAACTTTGATTTTTAATTTAATTTTATTTTCTTACGTCTTACGGTCTTACGTTGTTTCATTCTTTGAGTTTAGCGTGTCTAAACCTAAAAATGTTCTTGAAATACAAAATGCTTTTACTATTTAAAAAGTTAATATCAGATGAATGATTTGTTGGACTAACATCAATATGCCTAAGTCTTAAGTAGCTAAAAGAACAAGCATAACTTAACGAGTAAAAGCATGTCAGACATATTGTAAACTATCATGGTTGCTGTTCCATGTGACAAAATGCTACAAAACAATTGGCTAGGAAAATTTTCTTACAACTTTTATGATTTAACTTTTTTTTCGCAATTTTTTATCATTCATAAATTAATGAGATCAGATGAACTTGGGTCACACGACAATAATTAGCTATGTATAATTAAGTAAAAAATCAGCTATAAAATTAGAAATGTATTTATTACTAAGCATATAGATTCTAAAGCTGTTTTGTTATTTTGAAAGAGCCCATTTTCAAATTGTAAGGCTAGTGCAGAGTGCAGAGTCGTAACCAAGTTATCGAGGTACGTGGCGTGGAAAGTGAACAATAATGTGCCATTTTATTGTTAGGCAAATATTTTATATAACTTCTGGGATGTACATCTAGTTGCAGCTAATGTTCCCTATTTAAATTTTCTTACCTCGTCCGGAGGGGGGGGGGGGGTGCGGTATACATGTGCGGTGGGGTTCACCGATTGATATTTAGGGGAGACAACAAATAATGAAGTCCCCCAAAACTGATTTTATAGTAGAAAAATGATACAGTGACTAAAAAATGAAGTTTCGTTTTTCTACTTTTACTAAACCCACACATTGCATGTTTTGTATAAGTCTTTATCCATTTTAAGAATTTCTTTGCAGTTTTAATATAGGTCAGACTGTAGTTAAATTAGAAAACCATGAGCTATGATAAATACTTAAATTTATTTTTAGAAATAACAATATCATTTATTTACTACTCAATGCCCTTTGGTTTTTTCAAGCTTTTATTTAACTCACTTCCTCTGTCGTCAGTCTGTCGTCAGTCTGTCTGTCTAGATCAGGGGTCGGCAACCTGCGGCTCGCGAGCCGCATGCGGCTCTTTTGATATCAAGATGCGGCTCTCCTTGCGCAAATACTAATAATCTTAATAAAAAATTAAATTATTTGAAATAAAAAAATGTTAGTGGCTCTTTAAAACCAGGGAAATTTTGAACATTGTAACTTTTGGCTCTTTTGCTTCAAAAGGTTGCCGACCCCTGGTCTAGATCGAAAACGCCGGAGTGAAAATTCTGACACTTCTACTTGACCGATACGATTCACAGTTGGCACGTGGGTCAAGACATGAAGGCAATGCAATCTGAAATTAATTGAATGACTAATTACTTTTTTATGAATTAATTAAAATTTGGACCGAATTAGTAGGCATGTCTATCCAGTGGCGTAGCGAGGTCGGGTGCCACCCGGTGCGGCACTTAATGGTGTCACCCCCTAGAGGCGTAGCGACCCTTCCCGGGGACAAATTTTCGATTTGCACACCCCCCCCCCCCCCCCTCAAACTTTCGATTTGCACACCCCCCCCCTCAAGTTTTTCTCTATATATTTTGCTATTTTTTGCCTTGGTGTCACCCCCCTAAATGGTGTCACCCGGTGCGGTCCGCACCCCCCGCACCCCCCCCCCCCCTCTTCGCTACTCCCCTGTGTCTATCCAACCTCACCACACGCGTCATCACGTTTTAATAGGCGCGCAATGGTTTTTAGTCACGAAACTCTATTGTAAATAAAAACATGCAAAGTACTAAAGAAAAATTTAATAAAAAACGTTTTAATGACAAGCTTTTATGCACTTATGCACTAAAAAGTAGACAATAAATTATACACTACTATTTAAATAACTATAAAGAAAAGCGTGGGTCTCTTCCTAAACATTAGTAAATGTATCCAATAGATACTAAAGTGAACCACGCTTTTCTTTATAGTTCCAGAGTACAGTACCTGGCTCAACTGTAGGAAGCTAATGCAAACTACGTCACTTTGGTCAAATTAATGATTACGGACGGACAGATAGAGAAATGCATTCTGAATAAAAGAACATTCCCCATTTAACGATATTCAAAAAAGTCGGCTTTTGGGTAGTGGCAAGCATGGAAGTGTTGCCACGGGACTGGCCACAGCACGGATGTAAGGATGGGCCTGGTGCCCAAGCGGCTGTCAGCTGTCCGTGTACTCTCTATTGCACCTATTCTCACTGTTTTCTGGTGAGTGTTTGTATCCTGTTTAAAGTTGAGTATCTTTACAGTATAATATTTGCTGCGAGTTTTGAAAATAAAATAACTTAATATTTGTGCAACGAGCTGGAGAGCCGCATCTTGACAGCAAAAGACTAAGACTAGAGAAGCAATCACGAAAATTAAGCATAAGTAATAATAAATTATCAAGTAAAAATCAGAGAAATTGAGTTAAATTTAAATTAATTAAGTTTATGGATAGAGTGTAGCATTAAGAGTGTAACCAGTACGTTAATTAAAGTGACCGAAGGAGTGTAGCCTCGACAGTGTAGAGAGTAAGTGAATGAAGTAAATCTCCTTCACCCTACACCTCCGCCATGTTCTCCAATAAGTTCAAGTAAGCCGATTTCCAAAGTATTTACACAAGGCCTATATAAAACCTGTTTATTTCTTCACATTCTCCTTTATTATTTTTTATACAAAATTTGTTATTTATAAACGCATTTTTCTCATTTAAAAAGTTATTAAAATACGTAACAAAAACACGTTGGGTAGCAATTTTGGGGCAGGCTGGAACAAATTAATGGAAATTTACTAATTTCAATGGAAAAAAACTGCTTTGAGATACGAACAATTTGACTTACGAGCAATACTACGAAACAAATCAAACTCGTGTCTCGAAGTAGTACTGTAATTTTACCGCGAACAACGAGGCAATGCAAATTGACTCGGTGATAAATACCCGAGTCACACAAAAAATTCAGTATGAACACGAGTACTTTTTACTGGACCATATAACCTTTATGTCAGCTTCATATATTTATAGTATATTTATATTTTAGAAATTATAACCTCAACCTTTAAATGTGTGTGTGCCCCCAGAATGCTCAATTTTTTTAAAATGTCATAGAGAAAGCTGAGTTTAGAGGCGGTGAATGGTCGGGCGGGAGAGCTTATGATAGCTAACTCAAAAAGTCCCGATTTCGCAACCCCGGGCTGATGAGGCTCGTTAGCCAAGGACAGCAACCCATCTAGATAATTACGTACTAAATCCTCATCACTCCCTGTGGAGTATAGTGCAGCAACAAATCTCCGCCATTCCACTCTGTCTTGGGCGAGCCACTTCAGTTCATGTCAGGTCTTGCCAGTAGCCTGCACTTCTTCTTCCATCTCTCTCCTCCATGTTCCCAGTGGTCTTCCTCTCTTTCGCTTTCCAGGCGGAGTCCACTTCAGCGCCATGTTGGGGAGTCTTCTTTTTGCTCATGCGTAGGACATGGCCCAGCCATCTCCATCTCCTCATTCGAACTTCTGAAACAATGTCGTTTAATCCTGTCCTTCGTCGTATTTCCTTGTTCGGGACTTTGTCGTCCCACTTTATTCTGAGGATAAGTTGCAGGGATCTTCTTTCAAAGCCTTTGAGTCGGCTCTTTCTTGTTTAGTTTTCATGACTCTGCAGCATAGAGGAGTAAAGAACGTACATTAGACTTGTAGATCCTTATTTTAGTTCTCTGCTGCAGTGAGGATGATTTCCAGATCTTAGCAAGTCTGTTGAAAGCTTGTGCTGCCATTGCTATTCTGGTGGCTATTTCTTTCTCCATGCTAGACGAGAAGCTCAAGAATGAAAAAAAAATCTTCTGCCTTGCTGATTGTTCTTGGATCGACAAAGGCAGATCCGGAAAAAAAGGCAGGCTGTATTCTGAACCAATGGGCCATAAGACACATAACATAATATGCAATGCGTAATTGTGCTGGATTCCCTTCATTGTTAGAATTAAGAATCAACAAGAAAAAACTGCATTTAGGACATCTTTATTAATTAATCAGTAAAATTATAAAGCATTGAGTGTTTTATTTTATTTGCACAAACAGTCAAAATGCTCAGCCGGAAAAACAAACTTGTGAGTTATGTATACGTTTTTATAATATTGGCCTTTATTATTATCCTCAACAATAATTTAACAAATTTCTTGTTCCTAAAATGCGTTCATTCATATTCATATTTGATTATATATATATATATATATATATATATATATATATATATATATATATATATATATATATATATATATATATATATATATATATATATATGTATATATATATATATATATAGGCTTATATATTATATAAGCCTATATATATATATATATATATATATATATATATATATATATATATATATATATATATATATATATATATATATATAATCAAATATGAATATGAGAGAGAGAGCTAAAAATTACTTATTAACCATATAAAAAAAAATAATATTTAATCAAGAGGAAACATGTTTACTAAAAATATACCATGATCCTCTTAGAAAATAGAACAGCGTAATATAAGAACTTATTAACCAATTAAGACTGAAAAGAAGTTTTGCTAATGATGATCACACAACCCCTCTGAACTTCTTCATTTGTCCATTGAGCCAGCTGGTCTAAAAGGGAAGTTTACTCTCTCCTGTAGAGCTAGTAGCAGGCTTCCCACCAAGTCATCCATGCATGCCCACAACACTATTAATTAGTGTAGGCATCAGTAGCGTCACAATGCGGGGGCGAGACGGCGTTCAGCATCCGTTAACACCATGTAGAGGGTAAAATAGTTAAACAGTGAAGAAGGGGTGATACCAAATCCGACACAGTGACGTCACTGGTAGGCATATTTATTATGTTATCTATTTTACTGTAATTCTTCCATTTCTAACATTTTGTTCAAAATTGTTTTTATTTTTGTTTGTTTTTGTTTTTTAATTTTCCACATCCTCAGTGAATTTGTCCATGCTTATTTCCCCTTAAGGACGAAATGATAGAATTTCAGTAGACGAAATTATTTCGATGAATATATTAGCTGGTCGCTCTAGCATACATGTGATTAACCTTCTGACCAGTGGTAACAACTAAACCCCAATAATATTTACTTAAACAAACAAAAAAATAAAGAATATATACTAGACGACCATGTTATCCAAAAGATAACTAAATGTCGATTGACAAGCCCGATTATAAAATCTGCAAACGGCAGGAGTTGACTATATTTTCCTTTGAATCTTTTTCACAATCTCAGATAAAGTTTTGATGCCCTGAAATAAAAATAACAAGGTATATTTTAATACTACGCAGACATAATTCAACATTTTAATAGTGTTTACGCTTAGAATTTTGACTAAGAAAGCAAGCTGCAATGCTCCAATATTGGTTACGAACAGTTTTTTTTTAAATTTATTTCGCGGTTCTTGAATAAAGTCTAAGTAAACTTATGTTATGAATATAGCACAATACACAACTTACACTGTCCATTTCTTCCACTCCAGCGACCGAGAAAGATAACCGTATGAAAGGTTTTGGAGCTTGATCAGGTGAGAAGAGCCGCCCAGCGACAATGGCCACGCCCTCTGCCAGAGCTTCCTCCATCAGCTGGCTCGTGTCTGACACGCCTTTGATCCTCACCCAGAAGAACATCCCTCCACTCGGGAAGTTCCATGTCGCAACACCTGGAATGTTGGAGCAGGGGTCAAAACTATGTAAAGGGTGATGCCCGTTTCGGATGCGGACACCACTATCATCAGCATCACCATTGTCATAGCCATCATCAACATCATGTTCATCATCACCAGCTCTCAAACACCATCATCATCGTCATCATGATACTCTTTTCTTTGGGTTCCTTGTGGAACATAGACCATACGTCGCCGTTTCCCCTCCCCCCCCCCCCCACGAGCTATCTATAGTATTTTTTTTTATTCTGTCCTATTTATCTTAGCCTCATCCAATACCCATTTTCTCTTGGGTTGTCCTGTGTTTGCCTTGGGGGTACTACATTTCCCTACCTGGGTTTCTATTCTTAACTCCCTCACACCTGTGTTAGCTCACCTGACAAATATTTCTTTAAAATCCCTTCCATGTTTTGAGCTTTCTTTTCATACGCGGCAGCCAACTTGCGCATTTCGCTGTAAAATGTCTCAAATCCCCACTGATGCAGGATTTTACTTATCACGATCTGAAGTAAGGGAAAACAAGATTAATCCAAAGCTTAAGACTGCTTGATCAAGCTGGACTCTCGATGTCTAAACAGATATTAGCAAATATTCTTGGTTAAATTATTCTGGTTAGATAACAAAAAGTTACGTGCTTAATGACACATGAACTAGCGTCGGCATTGTCCTCTGTGCTTTATTTCGTATCTGTTACCGCTCAGCTTAACGGCTGTCTGACGCGGACGCCTCTCTGAATCGTAGCAAAGCACAACCCAGTGCTGGCGCGCCAGCATGTTAAAAAAGGGGCGACTTAAATGTTAAATTATTACTATGTTGTCACTAATTTACCAAGTATGCACGTTGGTCACATTACCTGCGGCAGGGAGAGTAAGTTTGTAGTTACCTGAGATAGGATACAGGGATGAATGGTGTTGTGTGACAGGCTGTTGATATACTTTCTGACGAGTGTCTCTGGTCCACTTAGCCAGCCTAAACGATACCTAAAACATTTAGATGGCTTCTGGATTAGTGAGAGTGTGAGGCCGTCTAAGTTATTAACAGTGATATTATTAATCTACATTGGAATTAATCAGAGTTTGGAGTCGTCGTATGTTTTAAAGTGTAATCTAATAAATTCACGTTATATTTTTAATAAGACGGATGTGTACTTGTTTGCTTCTCTTACTGTTAAGCGTAATCTAACTCACCCAGCGCCTATAATCTTAGAGAAGGTGTCGAACCTCAGCACTCTACCATCTACATCAATGGACTGGAAGCCGCGCCGCCTCTGTAAGATAATTATGTTAACACATTTTTTACCACGATGGAGGTGCTCAAGTAATTTTATATTATGTATTAGTTTGCGTTACCTAGACCCCATTTACCAAAATGATAAAAGTGTCTTGTTGTCGTTAGTTATATCGTGACTAATGTGATTGGCTTTAGTGCTATCGGCCCAATTGTAATTCATACGACTAGCCTGCTTTAGTATCTACAGCAAGTGACGAACAGCCGAAAACATTTTAAACTTATATTATCTACGTATAGAACAAGTTTAATATAAACTCGTTTCAGAAGCATGCTCTAATAAAAATTAATGCTCTATAAAATTTCTAGGAACCTTCCCCCTAAACTATGATACAATTTGGTACTATATAGTCTGTTCTATTTTGAATTAATGGAAATCTTGACATGGCACCTATGGCGGACGGAGAAAAAAGGCCTCCCTTCCACCACACCAAACTGAGGCAGATTTTATGAGGTTTTCATCAAAACGTTACCAATCAAGTATTTTTGGACGTTTTCCAGAAGCTTAATAAAATGTGAACAGTGTCGGCATTTCATTTCTTGGATCTTATTTGTTGGGCGCGGGTTTGTCCACACTACCAACGAGACACCCCAGGGCATGCTGTAAGCTACAGTTTACACTGATTATCCCTCGGCGACGGCACAGTGGTCAGGGCTCTTGAGACCCACCGGGTTCATTACTGCACGGTTGATGGGCGCAACACCTGGCTAGATTAAGTCATCGAATGTATTAGCGAGACTTATCCCTAGTGTTGTGTAACTTTAAACTACTATAGGTGCCAGACTTCTCACTCGTATGAGATGCATTCAGGATGACACTGCTGCCGGTGGATTTCATTAGTAACTCAATCCCCCTGTATAAGCGGATCCCAGGGGAAAAGATAGCCACTGGGGATTTCGTGGCGCTAGATCACATATTTCCGTGGGGCGCCGCCACTCTACTATGTAAACAAATGTTTGGCCTATGATAGAAACCTTTGCGGGGCTGTACTCAACAGCCTCCCAACTTTCCATGGCGATCGGATGAATGGTTTAGTAATGTATAAAAGACAGAAACATGTTTTCATCTGTACAGCTGTATGTGCCAGCTCGCGTTTCGGATAACCTTCTGTAAACGTTTATTCTAAGTTAAAAATAAATCTAACAGCGAGTTGTGTCCTCTAAAGCACACAAACATATGTGTAGAACAAACACAAAACAAGAAGAGATAAAGATGGAGTAATCTCACCTAAAATTTCTCGAATATTCTTAGAAAACACTAAAGGGGGATGGCAGTGCAGTCGGGATATAGACATTTTTGTAAAAGTCGATTTTAAAATACTTATATTTTAAAAAAAATAGAATATAATTTATTCTATTGCCAACCTGCTGAAACTGCATAAAGTAGTATGCTGCATCTTCCAGTATGATAACGTCGTACTTTCTACACACCTTGTAAATGTCTATCAGTCTTTCTTGTTCCATAGTGTAGCCTAGCTCGGAGAAAATAGACCACAAATCAACAATACCTTATTGTATTTACTTGCTGTGTCGACAGTTTTAGGGGTGATATTTTTTTTTAATTAACAATGCGCCCAAATTTGTGGGTCTATATATGTGTGTGCGTATATGTGTGCGTATATACATGGATGGATGGATGGATGGATGGATGGATGGATGGATGGATGGATGGATGGATGGATGGATGGATGGATGGATGGATGGATGGATGGATGGATGGATGGATGGATGGATGGATGGATGGATGGATGGATGGATGGATGGATGGATGGATGGATGGATGGATGGATGGATGGATGGATGGATGGATGGATGGATGGATGGATGGATGGATGGATGGATGGATGGATGGATGGATGGATGGATGGATGGATGGATGGATGGATGGATGGATGGATGGATGGATGGATGGATGGATGGATGGATGGATGGATGGATGGATGGATGGATGGATGGATGGATGGATGGATGGATGGATGGATGGATGGATGGATGGATGGATGGATGGATGGATGGATGGATGGATGGATGGATGGATGGATGGATGGATGGATGGATGGATGGATGGATGGATGGATGGATGGATGGATGGATGGATGGATGGATGGATGGATGGATGGATGGATGGATGGATGGATGGATGGATGGATGGATGGATGGATGGATGGATGGATGGATGGATGGATGGATGGATGGATGGATGGATGGATGGATAGAGATAGATATAATATATCGTTACTTTTTGGATTATTGCATGCCGTAATTGAGTATAAAACTCGTGGTCTTTTCGTGTTGGGATGTGTCGTTGCCCAGGATGCTAGAACATCTTCCAAATCTTGAGCCAACATCCCTCCCTCGTCACTTGTCACCGTGACCGGCTTTGCTCCAAATAATGTGAGCTGAAATACGAAATAAGATTACACATTAAAGACATAGATATTGTCTATGTAGTGATAGAGGCTCTTTTTCGTTTTATTTGTGAAAAAGAAAAGATAAATATCCAATATCGATGGATCTAATTTTACATCTAATGATAAATGTTGCACAAGATACATTAGTTTCCGTTTTTACATAAACCTGCTTTAGATAAATAAACATATTTGAGTAGTTGAAAATTCTAGGAAAAAAAAGAGAACCACTTTTCACGCTACACAAATGTGCAAAACGCGAGTTGGAAAAACTTTGCTTCAGAAAAAATGTTTAAATTATCAAATACGCTTATAAAGTTAGTATTTTTTTAATAGAGATAAAGTGTGATTTAAATTTAATCTTCATATTAGTTCACATGCGTTTATCTAAACATCTTGACTTCTCGAATCCTATACTTTCCATTCATTGTTAGCTTTACATGTCATCATCAGTCCTGTTGAACACTTGTACAGCAATGGGACGCAACCACATTTCTCCATCTCGCTCGTATTAGCAGGACTCCTTCTAGTTAGGACGATGCCATTCCGACTGCATGTGCTTCGTTGGCCACTGCTATTTTCTGATTTGTTTTGCCTTACATTAACATTGAAAAAAAAATATTTACGATAGTTTTGTTTGAAAAATGTAAGCACTCACAGCACTGATGGTGTTGGAGTAGACTTCGTCTTCTATCAGCACGTGATCGTCCTCGTCAAGCAACACGTGAAACACCTGTAATTAAACTTAATGTAATTAAATGTAATTAAACATAATAAAAAGTTGCTTTTTTAATGTTTAAAAAAATGTAATTTAAATATTACATTAGGTTTATTTAAATAAATTTCAAATTTTGAAAGCAAGAAGAATTCCTCAAGGATTGAACTGAAATTGGAATGAAAATGAGTTTGTATAACATTCTAAACTATTTGTTATAACGTTAAACGGTAATATACTTTTTAAAAGATAAGTCGAGAAAATGATTGGAAAAGTTGTGTCGAGGACTATGCAGTGCTCCATGTTTGATTGCACTAAATTATGTTAAAACACGAATTCTAAAAGATAAGGAACACTAATCTCCGATCAAAATCTGTTAGAAATCTGTTTTAGTATGTTGCAATAGAAATTGTATTATATTCTCTGTTTACCCAGCGCAGTAATATTTTAGAAAGAAGTCGATGTTTTATGAAAAAAAAGTGAAATTTTGAGACTAGAGAGGGAGTTGCAGACAGAGGTGTGACGATATTTTAGATGCCGTTCTGGATTTATTTTTATTTTTTTGCCGATGAATGACAAAGAGATGTGCAGGTAAAAATCGTCAAAAGTTCTTGACGTCATTTATTGATGCCCCCTTTGTTTTATGTTTGAATATGAAAATCACTGCGTGGTTTTGGATCAGTTGAACTGAACAGGATTAAACTGACCCCTCTGAGACCGTCTGTGATGCCGTTGGTTATGGTCAATATGAACGGCTCTGGGTGGTCAGTCCTGATAAGCTGTGGCGGCTCGTGTTCTACTCGGTGAAGTTCTGTTAGCCATTCCCGTAGTTCTGGTAGTCTGGTGGAGATGGTAAGAGGGGGGGGGGGGGAGCGGGTTGAGATTAAAAAAAAAGTGACCACATTGTTTCTAAATAAATAATTTTAAGTTTAATTTCTGTGTTATTTGGATTTTAGATTGCGTGTATATAATCAATTTTTTTTTAAAAAAAAGCTTATTCAAAAGGGTTTAGATGAACCTGTGATAATAAAGTTAAATTTCCACTCCTTGTATATATTAAACGAACTTTATTAAACAATAATCTCTTACCCTTCAGCTTGCCCGTAGTTTCCGACAGCCGCCATATCCTTTTTATCCAACTCAATCACATTGCCGTCTCTGGTATATATTAGAGTTTAGTATCAAGTTATTCCTCAATATAAAAATTATAATACGTTTTGATGCTAATCTTCATAGGCCGAAATTTTAAAAAAATTAAACTTTGTCTTAAATGAATAAAAACCGTAGGCCTACTTAGAAATTTAATATATACCAATATAAACCTTAAATTATCCTTTACTTTAAACTGATTGCTCCTGACGCTAAACTAATAAAATCCCCAGCCTTAAATTAATCCTAACCCTAATACGTTAAGTCGTTTATAAGAAATGCACTTGGAATACCTCAAGAAAAACTTAGCCTGTATAGCTGGTACCGTGTTTGTATCAGGCAGGCCGCCAGATAAGGTGACTATCGGTTTACCAGTCGCACATTCTACATGAAAACACACTTTATCACCAGACAATTTATTGTAACATAATAAAAACAATACAATGACACGAGTGACATTTTTTGAGAGGTATTGGGGGGGGGGGGGGGTATTCCATTGCATGGACCACCAAGATAAAACGTTAAACGTGTCGCTTTATATTAAACATTTCAAAATATTGTATTTAAAAAAAAATTAAGTACTTAAAATTAAGGTAAATTGTAGTGAAATATGTATAAAGTTCTTGGGGAATGCGAAGAGTTCATTTGTTTCTCTGACATCAGAGCAGGAAGAGATAGTGTATTCAGGACTAAACCCAGCCACTTTTACATTTCCCCACCCAAATGTTAAGTACCTATTACAGCTGAGAGGGTTAGTAAACGTACAACATTTCATCCTACAGTATTTCAAATGACTCAAGTTTTTTTCTAACAAAAAAAAAAACATCGATTGTTTTTTTTTTATTTTTATTTTGCCTCCAATAACTTCCTTGCCATTTGGTGACGCACCATGTGTTTAAATCTGTACAGCATAGCTCAGCACAACAATATTTGCAAGTTTTATACAACCTGGTAGGTAAGTTATATTAGTGGTGTGCTTGCAACTTCTACTATTTGGGTAATCAAGAAGTTTGTTACGTGGATACGTGCGGATATCAGAAAACTCTCTTAGATACTTTTTTTTCTACAACCTTTGTCTTCATATTTCTGAATAACTTTTCTGCAATGACCAAGCCTCTAGAGAATTTTGTGATAAAAATTATTTAACGATCATTACAACAGCTCTGCTTCACCTTTTGCGTTTATGCGGCGCAGAATATTGTAAACAATTCTCCTGCCCGTACGACTGAATACACTCTCGTAGTCAGGCAGGGAGACTGGAGACTTTAGGAGATCACTGAGAGATGGTGAGCTGTAGCCGATACTGAAAAAAACATAACGCAAAGCAAGTTACGTTTTAAATGTCAGTCTCGGAATTTATTAACTGGAAATAGATTTCAAAAATAGAACTATTTAAAACTGTATATATATATATATATATATATATATATATATATATATATATATATATATATATATATATATATATATATATATTAGCCGAACGGACTGACCCTGCCCTGGGCTCTGTGGAAAACCTATCTGTTAAGGACCGTTGCTTGTGTGTGCTTAAGTACCATATCCCAGCATTTCCCGGGTTTAAGAAATATACTACTTTTCCAATTAAATGTATGTCTGCAAATATGGACGCGTAACCTAATTCTAACCATAAACTTAACCCTAACCACAACCTTCCACAACAAAAACCAAAACTAAAACACAAACGCAAACTCAAACCCAAACGCGAACACAAACGCAAACGTTTGGTACAAAGGGACGTAATTTGCATCCTTTTTTTCAAACGAAATTGGAATTTTTGTAAAGGGTAGTACATTTATTGCAATTTTGTTCTTTTCATGGTGTGTCAATCGAAATTCTAAGTTGAAAAATAAAAATTTAGTGTGCGCATTGGCCGGCTCTCTTGGCCAAAGCCCGAAGAGCTTAGCACTGAGAGCGTATTTCGTACATTGGCTGGTCAATGCGCGCACTGGCCTGGGCGTACTGGCCAAAGTCCGAAGACCTTTAACTTGACAGCGTATTTCCTACATTGGCCGGCCAATGCGCGCACTGGCCGGGATGTAATGGCCAAAGTCCGAAAAGTTTAAAATTGACAAAGTATTTCACATATTGGCCAGCTAATGCGCGCACTGGCCGGGATGTTCTATCTAAACTAAGTTGTGATCGCGTTTTCATTATTCTGGGTGAGGTTTCATTGTGAGTAACGTATTGTTTGGCTGTTTTTTTTTGTCTAGCATTCTATATGCAATGCGACATGGACAAAAAGGCCGTCAGACCAAGTGACAAACATACCAGATGGCTGCCAAAATAAATTATCCAAATCCTAATGGAAGAGAATTTCTGAATCAAGTTATTTCTGAACTAAATAACATGTGGTCTGAACTTAAACTAGTTCACGGAAATCTAAGGCATAGCCAAAGCCAAGGTTCAGTAGAACGTGCCAACCAAGATGTTCAAAACATGATAATGACAGGGATGCAAACAAATGAATCAGCTCATTGGGTTGAGAGTCTCAAATTTATGAAAACCCGTTCTTTTAATAAAGTATACCAACAATCGCCATACAAAGCCTTGTTTGGATGCAAAACAAAAGTGGGACAAAAGTGGGAATCTACCAAGAGATGCTCTCGATAATTTAGTTACTGAGAAAGATCTTGAGAACATTGAACAAGAGGTTGCCATAAATGCAACGACATTCTCAGCTAACACATATTCTACCGTGGCGGAACGTCCAGACCAGTTGCGTGACAATAATGAGGCCAATAGATTCTGTATAGCTTGTGAAAAACAATGTAGTGCAGCCCATTCTTGTGGATCCTGTGGCAACGATGTCCATGCAATATGCGGAATAGCCAATGAAGCAGACGAAGGTTACGTAGGGAACATTACTTGCAGATTATGTCACAATAAACATGAAACCATGGACAACAGGTCAACATCTCATACTAGCTTGCAAACTCAAGGTGCAAGACGCTAAAAAAATCAGATACAAATTTTAAACAAGCTGATTTGGGAGATAATATTCGCATCTATATACCAGATGTAGACAGAGATCGCGGTGATCCCCGAAGTGTCATTGCAGTCGTTATGAGCGTCGAGGGAACTTTCTACAAGCTAGGAAAGGAACATGATGTTCTAAAACAACTATATGCTAGAAGTGAGTTTTCAATTCTTCACGAAAAACTGCTCTCATTATCGTCCGTTGGCACTGGGGAAAAATCTTCACAATCACTGACCGGCGGGCAAGGCTAATTTGCTGCAATCGCACAACCAAATGCACAACAAATCGCTGCAAGTGTAAAAATAACAAGCTACTATGTAATTCTAAATGCCAAACAAGTTCAACTTGTTGTAACAAGTGATAATATTGATAGAGCCTATAGGACATTAAAATACTTTGAATGTTTCTGTCATTTACTTTAATTAATAATCAATATAGACTTAATTTCGTGATCCTTACGGTATGAAAAAATCCTACATCTGCTCATGATCTTCTAATTCTTTTGATCGTCCCTATCTAAATGATCTTCTAATTAGGACTTTGGCCGGTCCACCATGGCCAGTCCGCGGACTGGCCGGCCATAGGCCGAAATCAAGAGCCATTTCAGACTTTGGCCGGTCCACCTTGGCCAGTCCGCGGATTGCGGCCAAAGGCCGAAATCAAGTTAAGTTTCGGACTTTGACCGGTCAACGAGAGGCAATATTGGCCAGTGCGCGCATTGGCCGGTCATTGCACACTTTGGCCGACTTCGGGCTTTGACCGTAACATATACACAATTATAATATACAAGAGAATTAAACAAAACAATAAGATATGGTTCTGATTTACCTGTGTCTAAAGTTCTTATCCATTGTATTCTTCAGTTCTGTATACACTTTTTTTTCAAGAGAAATATTGAAAGTGGCTGAATTCAAATTGCTCAGGTCGACAATCACCTAGTTAATGTTGAACAGAGATGACGAGGAAGATTTAAGATAATGATCACCTTCTGCAATGTGTGTCCACTATTTGCATATTGGACGTGATAATGTATTAGACGTGTTTCATGCATGGTGAATTTGTTTACGTGTTTGTATCGGGGTTGATGGTGTTAGGCCATGATGCAGCGTTTTCTACAGGTGACGTCGGTTTAAAATGGGTCAACGTTTTTGTAATCTGATCGATACAGCTGCTTACAGATACAACATTATATTCAAAAGTTAGAAGGGCTTTTGCCTACAGATACAACATGATATTCTGATGCTAACATGGCTTTAGCTAACAGATAGCTTTCGTTGCCAATACAAAGAGGGATTTGTTGTAAGTCCAAATATGGATTTATTGTTGGTTCAAATGTGGATTTGTTGTTGGTCCAAATACGGATTTGTTGTAGGTCTAAATATGGATTTATAGTTGGTCCAAATGTGGATTTGTTGTTGACACAAATGTGGATTTGTTGTTGGTCCAAATGTTGGTTTGTTGTTGGTCCAAATGTTGGTTTGTTGTTGACCCAAATGTTGATTTGTTTTCGTCCAAATATATATTTTTTGGTTGCTGTAAATATGGATTTGTTGTTCATCCAAATATAGATTTGTTGTTGGTCGAATTATAGATTTGTTGTTGGTCCAATTATGGTTCTGTTGTTGATCCAAATATGGATTTGTTTTTAGACCGAAAATGGATTTTTTGGTGACCCAAACATAGATTTGTTTATGTAGACTAGGTCTTCCTGTAAAAATTAATTTGCTGATGAACAGGCCGTTGATCTGGTGCCCAAGAAAATAAAGACGTATTGATGATTGAGAACAATTTTTTAAACACCGTCAAAGCTCTTATCTTGTCTTAACAAGCTCTTTGTTCACAAGCATATAATCAAAAAATAAAAATGAAGAAACATTTCAGGCGTTTATTTATTTTAGCATTATGAATATTTGGATAAAAATGCAACATACCTTCATTTGGTATACCGTTTTTAAAATCAAAATTATATATATATATATATATATATATATATATATATATATATATATATATATATATATATATATATATATATATATATATATATATATATATAAATATATATGATCCAGTAACAATAATTTTAAAACATTGAAACTGTAATCAAAGCCATTAGACAAAAAACTTGTGCTAAAGTTACTAAACAGATGAATATTGTGAGTTTCATTTTTGGAGCATTCATGAATACTTTCTCACCAGACAGTAAATATTGGGTACGAGGACCTCTGACAGCAAGTGCTTTGTCCATAGAGGGTCTATGATCACAGGTGGTTTATCCTTTTCAGGGTGCGTCATTGTCTATATCTATAAAAGCAAAGTAAGTGATGTTTGGTTTGTTTGTTACTCACACCTATTAGATCGGGTACTTGCAGATAAAATGCAGGGAAATTGTTCTTGCCAAAGTTTGCTGTTCACTCTATTTTTACCGGGAAAATTAGTCATCTCAATAATCGAGTTTAAAGTGACCCAAAACTGACCAAGATTGACTATGGTCTATACGTTTTATACTCAACTCTCTCCACTCCCGACCTTTAACCTTTATTTTCAGAAACTGAGCTCATACTTTGTAAAATCCTGCTTTATGAGCACATAAGTCACGTCCCTTTACAAATAACTTTTACCTCAATTGCTAGTGCAGGGCCTGGCCGGCACGGCTAGTTTATTAATAATATGATAATTTATTATGTTTAAGTGCAAGTCATCTAGACCTCTCAAGTCGAAAGTTGCATGTATATAAAATTAAAACTCGATCAACATAATTTATATCATTTATATAACATATAATATAATTTAATATCATTTTTTTTCTTTAATTTATTTCGATAAATATTGTTATGCCTTAGAGATAAGCAGATGTGGTCTACCGACATATTTGCGTGCCGTTGCACATTTGTTATTAAGTTTATCATAAACGTATTACTTCCTTAACTATATTATAGGCATGCTTTTTATCATTTGTAAGTACTTTTTATTTTCAAGTAGATCTACAATTTTTATTTGCGAATTTTTTAATTTGTTATTACTATACTGTAATTTAATGTAATTTTAGAACGGAGTAGATTCTATTAAGAATCTCAAAGAAAACTGCTCCTATAAAATTATATTAATGCATTGTTAATTTAAATTAATCAACACTTTATTATTTTTCAAAAATATCTGTGGTCAAAGCCAGAGTTTCTTCCAGGCATCCCCCCCCCCCCGCCCCCGAAAATTTTTACCGCCCCCCCCCCCCCGAACGAAATGAAATTTATATAATTTATATAGAAAATATATACTTTTAAAAGTGTCCGCCCCCCCCCCCCCCGAAGAAAGTCTACCGCCCCCCCCCCCCCCCGAAAATTTCAAGTGCCCCCCGGAGAAAAAAGTCTGGAAGAAACACTGGTCAAAGCACCTGTGGTCAAAGCTTCTATGGTTGGCTACTATTGTCAAACCACCAATGGTCAAACCACCGATGGTCAAAATACCTGTAGTCAAAGCACCTGTGGTAAAGCACCTGGTCAAAGCACCTGTGGTCAAAGCACACAGTATCAAATATGGCACCGTGCTCAGGCATAACATGCAAAAAATTCGAGTGCATATTTTTTTTTTTAAAGTTAAGACGTCAACTTTCATTAGCTCACTTATATTTTTATTTCAATCTTTTTACGACCTCTGCTAAAATTTTGATACCCTGAAATAAAAAAAAACCATGTTCTTTATTGCATGTCATTATATACAACCTGAACACTTGTAAAATTAAGAGAAAGTATCAGTTAATATACCGGTACTCTAACTAAGTGTAGCATCTATGGTAAACTTTCAGTACAATAAATTTTTACCATGTCCATTTCTTCCACTCCAGCGACCGAGAAAGATAACCGTATGAAAGGTTTTGGAGCTTGATCAGGTGAGAAGAGCCGCCCAGCGACAATGGCCACGCCCTCTGCCAGAGCTTCCTCCATCAGCTGGCTCGTGTCTGACACGCCTTTGATCCTCACCCAGAAGAACATCCCTCCACTCGGGAAGTTCCATGTGGCAACATCTGGAAAGTCGGAGCAGGAGTCAAAACTATGTAATGGGCGATGCCCGTTTCGGATGCGATCTAACTTAGCGGTGCCACTGATAACCAATATCAGCAGCAGCACCATCTTCAGGAGCACCATTATCATCTTCATCACCAATATAATCATCTTTGGGTACTTTGTGGGGAAAAGCAACCCCCCCCCCCCCTCATACACACACACACACTTTCACACTTTCTTGGGTCGTCCTCTCTATTGTTTTTCGTGTCCTAAAGTTTCACACTTGGGCTTCTAAATACCGTTACCTGACAAATATTTCTTTAAAATCCGGTCCATGTTTTGAGCTTTCTTTTCATAAGCGGCAGCCAACTTGCGCATCTCGCTGTAAAACGTCTCAAGTCCCCACTGATGCAGGATTTTACTTATCAGGATCTGAAGTTAAGGGAAAACAATATGACTCTAGAGATTTTAGATTGCTTGATCAAGCTGAGCTCTCGAATTCTAACCAGAAATTCAGATATATATTCCTGGTTAATGTAGCTTAGGTCTCAACCTAATAGGCTGGTTAGAATACAAAAAGCTAAGGTATTAAAGACACCTTTAACCTATGCTCGATACTGGTCTAAACGTTGTCCATTGTGCTCGATTTAGTAGCTTTTTTACGGGTTAAACCTCACTGAATGTGAATAGTTGCACGACAGAACCCACTCCTGGCGGATCAGCATGTTTTTAAACAAAGGTGTTTTAAGTTATTACTAGAGTTGTCACTAAATTACCAAGTAGGCCTATACAATTAGGCTACGTTTTCTGTGGTAGTTACAAGGCAAGTAAGTTTCTAGTTAATTGTAGCAGGATACAGGAGAAGTAAGGCTGCAGTTAACTGTGATAGGGTACTGTGAATTTAAGTGTGTAGTTAACTGTAGCAGGATACAGGAGAAATTAGGCTGTAGTTAATTGTGGTAGGGTACTGGGAATGTAAGTTTGTAGTTAATTGTAGCAGGATACAGGAGAAATAAGGCTGTATTTTGGTAGCGTACAGGCAAAGGAATGTACGTATGTAGTTACCTCCGATAAGATACAAGGATGAGATGTGTTGTGTGCCATGCTGTCGACATACTTTCTGACTATTGTCTCTGGTCCACTAAGCCAGCCTAAGCGATACCTAAAACATAAGGTGGGTTCCGGATTAGTGAGAATTTGAGTCTAAGTTATTAACAGTGATCTTATTAATCTTCATTGGAATTAATCAGAGTTTGGAGTCGTCGTATGTTATAAAGTGTAATCTAACAAATTCACATTATAATTTAAACAATAAAGATGTGGTGTTGTTTGATTCTCATACTGTTAAGTGTAATCTAACTCACCCAGCGCCTATAATCTTAGAGAAGGTGTCGAACCTCAGAACTCTACCATCTACATCAATGGACTGGAAACCGCGCCGCCTCTGTAAGATAATCAATTATGTTAACACCTTTTTACCACGATGGAGATGCTCGAGTACTTATATGCAAATTATTTAATTAGTTTGTGTGACCAAGACACGGTTTACCAATATGATAATTTCTATTGTTCTATTGTTCTATGGACTATTATTCTACACGAATTGCACTATCACCCTTTTGTAGAATTCAACACAACTTGCATATATATATATATATATATATATATATATATATATATATATATATATATATATATATATATATATATATATATTTATATATATATATATATATATATATATATATATATATATATATATATATATATATATATATATATATGGGACGGAGTGGTCTAGCGGTAGAGAGCTGGACTGCTAACCCGTAAGTCTCGAGTTCGCATCCGGGTTAAAGTCAGTAGACCGTCCCTGAGTCCACCCAACTCTGATGGGTACCTAACTCACGTTAGGGAAAAGTAAAGGCGGCTGGGCATAGTGCTGACCACACTATCTCTTCTTATGCCGAGGTCACAGAAACAAGTGAACTCTACTTCACTTGCCCCATAGGCCGTCAGGTTTGAAAGGGAAACTTTACTTTTTACTTACTTATATATATATATATATATATATATATATATATATATATATATATATATATATATATATATATATATATATATATATAATATATATGTATATATATATATATATATATATATATATATATATATATATATATATATATATATATATATATGTATATATATGTATATATATATATATATGTATATATATATGTATATATATATAATTATATTTTTCTTTCTTCATTTGTTTAATATTTTGTTTTCTTTTGCAAACCTGCTGAAACTGCATGAAGTAGTATGCTGCATCTTCCAGTATGATGACGTCGTACTTTCTACACACCTTGTAAATGTCTATCAGTCTTTCTTGTTCCATGGTATAGCCTAACTCGGAGAAAATAGACCACAAATCAACAATACCTTATTGTATATACTCGCGGTTTAGACAGTGTTAAGAGTGATAATATAATAGAAATTTAAAGCAACCACTCTACTATAACATAATATTGCGTAATCCGTTGGTCTCTATATATACTTGTTTTTATGCGCGTGTGTTTTAACATACAATGTTTTATTGAAATATATATATATATATATATATATATATATATATATATATATATATATATATATATATATATATATATATAGTTACTTTTTGGATTGTTGCATGCGGTAATTGTGTATAAAACTCGTGGTCTTTTCGTGTTTGGATGTGTCGTTGCCCAGGATGATAGAACATCTTCCAAATCTTGAGCCAACATCCCTCCCTCGTCACTTGTCACCGTGACTGGCTTTGCTCCAAACAATGTGAGCTGAAATACAAAATAAGATTACACATTACAGACTTAGATATTGTTTATGTAGGTGATAGTAGCTCTTTTAGGTTTATTTGAAAAAAGAAAAGGAAGTAATCGAAATCCACGATGAATCTCATTTTACAGTCAATGATAACTGTAGACATTAGTTATAGTTTTTTTTTAAACTTCTTTAGATAAATAAACATTTGAGTGGTTGAAAACAATTTTTTTAAAAACGACTACACGTGGGTTGGAAAATATTGCGGCAACTTTGCTTCAGAGAAAGTTTAAATTACCTAACTGGCTTTTAAAGTTAATATATTTAGTAGAGGTAAAGTAAAATTGAATCTTGATATTAGTTCACATGGGTTGATCGAAATATCTTGACTCACAGCACTGATGGTGTTGGAGTAGACTTCGTCTTCTATCAGCACGTGATCCTCCTCATCAAGCAACACGTGAAACACCTGTAATTAAATGTAATTAATTGAACATAATTAATTAAACGTAATTAATTAAACGTAATTAATTAAACTTAATTAATTGAACGTAATTAATTAAACGTAATTAAAAGATTAAAAATTACACCAGGTAACTATCTTTAGTAACTTTAAACTGTAGTATAATTTTTTAAGAGCTTAGTACAGAAATCGATGTGAACTACTCGTGGGGAGGTTTATTCAGTGATCCAAATTTGATTGCACTAAAATGTGTTAAATCACAGATCTAAAATATCAGGTCGCGTTTAGGTGCAAATTTCATAATTCATTATTGCAGTAACATTTTTTTTTAACTCTGAGATCGTCCGTAAATGACGTCATACTCCTAGGGAGAGGGGACTCGTAATTTTGTGGCGGTGTGATAAAGGGGAAATTAGCGGGGAGGGTGTTCAGATGGTGTGACATCACACTTTTGCATTAAAAAATAGCAATACTAGAAATTAAATTTTAGTCGTTATTTTGCATTTTAGAAAAATTGCATTAGATTTTAGTAAATTGTAAAAGAAAACTATTGATATACTCTAAGACCGAGCGCAGTGAATATTTTAGAAAGAAATTAAACTGCAAATTTGAGGAGGGAGTAGACTAATGTGTGGGTCATTTGAGGGGGTCTGGCTTTTGGTGACGATGTGTGATGGAAGGAAGGAAGTGGTTAAAAAAAACGTGACGTTATTTTGTGATGACCCCTGTCTTTAAAGTTCGTATCCGAAAGATTTCTCTGCGTGGTTTATAATCAACTGGATTAAACTGACCCCTCTGAGACCGTCTGTGATGCCGTTGGTTATGGTCAACATGAACGGCTCTGGGTGGTCAGTCCTGATAAGCTGTGGCGGCTCGTGTTCTACTCGGTGAAGTTCTGTTAGCCATTCCCGTAGTTCTGGCAGTCTGGTGGTCATGGTTGGGGGTGGAGGAGAGAGAGAGAGAAACAACAATATTTTATACACATTCAGGTTGGAAAAGTGACCACATTATAACTGATAAAGTGTTGTTGTTTTTTTTATTCTGAGTTATTTGGTTTATTAGATTGCGTGGATAAAATCAAATACTAAGAAAACAAATGCTGCGTTAAGAGGGTTGAGGTTCAGTGAAATAAGAAAGTTAAATTTTCCCACATTGTATTATTCAACAAAATTTTCTAAATCTCTTACCCTTCAGACTGCCCGTAGTTTCCAACATCCGCCATATCATTTTTATCCAACTCAATCACATTGCCGTCTCTGGTATATATTAGAGTTTAGTATCAAGTTACTCTTCATTATAAAAACTGTAATACGTTGTAAGCTTCATCTTAAGCTTAGCCGTAAAATTAGTTTAACCCAAGTCAAAAAATTGAAACTAACCTTAATATTAGACTTAAACCTACTTTTAAATTGTATATATAGTAAGCTTAAATTATATAATACATTAAGCTAATTAGTCCAGATCAAAAAGTTAAAACTTACCCTAATTCTAGCCTTAAGCCTACTTTTAAATTCAACACATCGCAAGCTTAAATTATCCAGTAAGATAAAAAGAAGTAAATAAAGATTCCTCTTCAGATCATTGAAGTAGAATTCATAATGTTTCGGCATATGAAGGGAAAGTGTGGTCAGCAATTTGCTCAGCCGCCTTTACTTTTCTTAACATGAGTTAATGAAAGTAAGGAGCTGGATGGACTCAAGGACGTTCTACTGACTTAAACCCGGATTCGAACTCGAGATTACTGGGATAGCAGTCTAGCGCTTTCTCGCCGTACCATTAAATTATCCAATACATTACACTATTTAGTTCTGATCCTAAATTGTTAAAGTCTCATCCCAAAACAAATCCTAACGCTAATACACACAAGTTCTCTAACGGTCACCTCAAGAAAAACTTGGCCTGTATTGCTGGTACAGTGTTGGCATCAGGTAGACCGCCCGACATGAGGACTGTACGTTTACCACTCTCATTAACTGCAGGCAAACAATTTGTAAACGTTTACCACTCTCATACACTGCAGGGAAACAATTTGTAAACGTTTACCACTCTCATACACTGCAGGGAAACAATTTGTAAACGTTTACCACTCTCATAAACTGCAGGGAAATAATTGGTACACACGCTTTAAGGCCGAGCAAAGGATTTTAACATTATAAAAACAATCCAATTTCAATTATCCGTGATTTCTCTAACATAGGCGCGGCAGATGATTTTCTAGTGTGATGCAAAACTTCCAAATAAATTTAATTTTTAAAAAAAAAGTATCCTTTAGGAACAGACGTCAATGAGGCAGGTGAAGTAGAGATGATCTAATCTCCCTACTTCTGTCCAGAAAGAAATAGTGTGGTCAGCACTAGCCCATCCACATTTACTTTCCCTGACTATAATTAAGTACCAATCAGAGACTACGTCTAAAGGGTCGTACATAAACGATGTCACACACCTACAGAGTTTCTTCCAGGCATCTCTTCGGGGGGGCTTCGCCCCCCCCCCCCCCCCCCCCCCGAAAAATTTTTACCGCACCCCCGAACGAAATGAAATTTATATAATTTATATAGAAAATATATACTTTTAACAGTGTCCGCCCCCCCCGAAGAAAGTTTACAGCCCCCCCCCCGAAGATTTCAAGTGCCCCCCGGAGAAAAAAGTCTGGAAGAAACACTGCACACCTAATGGGAGAGAAGGATTCGGATAACTGAGACATGAGACGCGAAGGGTAGGTGTGGAGAGGTTCAGTAGTGTGACGACACACTTTTGCATTTTAAAAATGATGTTAGTAACTGAATTTTCGTAAAAAATTTGACGTCATTCCCTTAAACCGAATTCAAAACTTCTGTGGTTTTCTCTCACAACTTTTTTCTACAGCCTTCAGCTTCATATTTCTGAATGATATTTCTGCAATGCAAAGTCAGGCTCTGAAAAATTGAGTGAGAATGGAAATCAATACAACAGCTCTGCTTCACCTTTCGTGTGCATGCGCCGCAGGATATTGTTGACGATTCTTCTGCCTGTACGGCTGAAAGTACTGGCGTAGTCTGGCAGAGAGACGGGAGAATTCAGGAGATCCCTGAGAGATTGTGGGTTGGGGCCGTTACTGAAAAAATAAAACGCAAAGCAAGTTATATTTTCAAGTTCATTCTCGGAAAGTATTAACTGGGAATATGTACTATTAAATAAACACTTTTTCAGGCTTTATTATATATATATATATATATATATATATATATATATATATATATATATATATATATATATATATATACAATAGAGAATTAAATTAAACATACTAGGATGAGGATCTACAGTAGGCCTACCTTTGTCTAAAATTATTCTCCATTTTATTCTCCAGTTCTGTTTACACTTTCTGAAAAAGAAATGTTAAAAGTATAAAAGTATGTGAGTTCAAATCTCCAAGTCGACAATCATCCAGCTAACGTTGAACAGAGATAGTAAACAGGGTTTTAGATACGCTTTACCTACTGCAATGTGTGTCCAACGTATGTATATTGGACGTGGTAATGTTTAATTTGAATGCATGGTGAATTAGTTTACGTGATTGTATCGTGGTTGGTGGTGTTAAGACATGATACAGCGTTTTCCTGAGGTTGATGAGGGTTAAAATAGGTCAAACCTTTTTGGTAATCATACCAAAGATTTCCTACAGTCAATGGAATGAATTGTTGATGGTATCAAAGTGTAAGCCTTTGTGGAATTTTTTTGGTCCAAATATGGAATTGTTCTTGTTCCTAATGTATATGTGATGTCCACCCAAATATAGGTTTGTTACTTTTGCTGATATAGATTTGATGCTGGCCAAAAAATTTTTTTTTTGCTGACATATAATTGTAGATGTTGCTGGTAAAGATATGAAATTGTTCTTCCAGAACAAAGTTGATCTGGTGCACACAAAAAAGATTCGTTGATGATGATGACACTATTTCTCTCCTTGACGAGCCCATTTTTCACAAGATACGAGTAAAAAATAAACCGGGAGTGATCTCCCCTAAACTTTCTCGAATATTCTTATATAACTTGGAATGTAGACATGATTTTTAATTACTTAAACTTTTAAAAATAGAATAGAACCTCATAGAAAAAAGAATTGCGCACCAAACGAACGCCAAAACAAAATGTGCATAATAGTGCGCAATATTATTAGTACTTTATAAATTTATATGCGTTTTTTGAGAAATCGGAAATAGCGTAAATTAGTACTTCCGGTCAACGGAAATTACTCAAAATTTGACAGAAGGTAGAGAATTGGATCTTTTACTTACGTGTGCAATTTCAATTTATCTATCTGGAAAAGTACTCAAGTTATAGGCTTTTGAAAAATTCAAAGTAGAAAAAGTACCACTTCCGGTTATCGGAAATCGCTCAAAAGTTGATACGGATCTACGATTTTGATAAAATACTTATATATGAAATTTCATCAACCTAGCTGTAACGGTACTCAAGTAATCGTGTTTACACACAGACAGACAGACAGACAGACAGACACACACACAGACACACAGACATACGGCGAGATTGCAAAATTATGTTTTTCCGTATCAATAAGGTGTAAAACTCTCGATTTTTTTTTGATTTTTTTTTTTTTGCACAATACTTTCTCTATACTTCGTATATACGAGAAAGTAAAAATTAACACGAAGAAAAATTTGCATTTTTTTATTTCTTTTATCTTTAAATAAGATTGGGTAAAAATACAATATAGGCCTACCTTCAATTGGCACGCAATTCGAATAATCTAGTGAAAAATAAATACATTTAAAATCTGTTAAATTGTTAACATACAAGTAAAATTATAAACATCAGCCCACCACCAATATATTTAAGTCATGTCCACACCGCGCGTTAGAATTTATTTTACGCATGCTTTAAGATATAAGCGGATTTCGCAGAAGTCTGTTTTAGGGATATATTTAAATATGGTAAACGCTAATAATCTAAAAGTAGTACACATTATTTATTTTTTAAATTTAGTTTTATGATTATATATTATCATATATCAAAGAATGTTAAAGTGCTTTCGCCACAAGTCATTAGAAAACTGCTGCTGGTGGTGTGTGCTTCATCAAACGTTAAACAAAATATAATTATGGTATTAAATTTTCATTATTTGGAGGGGGGGGGGTATTTTGGAGCATTAATGAATATTTTTTCTCACCCAAAATTAAATACGCTACTACTAAATCTTATTTAGAAATCAAGAACATTTTTTAAAATGGTTAAAACCGCAACAATCGTTCGCTCCTTTATATTTTTCTTTGAATCTTTTTCACGACTTCTGCAAGAATTTTGATCCCCTGAAATTAAAAAAAAAACATGTGCAATAGTATTTTACGTATACACAGAACACTTGCAACATTAATACAAAGTATCAGTTAATATACCAGTATTCTAAGTATAATAATGATGGTAGAATAAACTTTAAGTAAAATATTTTACTTTGTCCATTTCTTCCACTCCAGCGACCGAGAAAGATAACCGTATGAAAGGTTTTGGAGCTTGATCAGGTGAGAAGAGCCGCCCAGCGACAATGGCCACGCCCTCTGCCAGAGCTTCCTCCATCAGCTGGCTCGTGTCTGACACGCCTTTGATCCTCACCCAGAAGAACATCCCTCCACTCGGGAAGTTCCATGTCGCAACATCTGGAAAGTCGGGGCAGGGGTCAAAATTATGCAGGCCTAACTTACAATGTGATAATCCTGTTATTTATTTATGTAAATATATTTCCAATATTTACAGTTAAAAGTAAACTCATATTATCTTAAAATTCAAAAGGAAAACTAATATTGATTTCGGCGTTATTTAAATAATTTTTCACTTGAACTTGTATTTTCACAATAAGGAGAAGTTGCTAACATATTATGTTGCAGGTAATTTTATTTTTAAATTTATGTCAGTTCTAATATCCCCAGTAAACCCTATATTTCCTAGAGTAATATGTAACATAGAACTCATCATATATTTTTAAACAGCCCCGTCACATTCCCTTTTGCTTTTCTCCTTTCATTTTACTTAAATAAAAATTATTTCTATAAAGCTTACCCCCATATGACCCCTTACCCCCCATATATCTCTGTAAAGCCCCCTACATAAGACCCGATATGACCCCCCTTACCCCCATATATCTCTTTAAAACCTCTACATATAACCCCCATATGACCCCCTCACCCCCCATATATCTCTGTAAAGCCGCCTCCATATAACCCCTATATGACCCCCCTTACCCCCATATGACCCCTTACCCCCCATATATCTCTGTCAGGCCCCCTACATATAACCCCCATATGACCCCTTACCCCCATATGACCCCCTTACCCCCATATGACCCCCTTACCCCCATATGACCCCTTACCCCCCATATATCTCTGTAAGGCCCCCTACATATAACCCCCATATGACCCCTTACCCCCATATATCTCTGTAAAGCCGTCTCCATATAACCCCCATATGACCCCCTTACCCCCCATATATCTCTGTAAAGCAGCCTCCATATAACCCCCATATGACCCCCTTACCCCCATATATCTCTGTAAAGCAGCCTCCATATAACCCCCATATGACCCCCCTTACCCGCCATATATCTCTGTAAAGCCGCCTCCATATGCCGAGCCTTCTGTTGGTACGTGTCTGCCAACTTGACCATCTCGCTGTGGAACTTCTCCAGTCCCCACTGGTGTAGGAGTTTGTTTACCATCAGCTGGGGGAAAAAATTTACAGTATGTTATTTTTTAATCCACAGCAACTGGGCTATGGTGAGTCAATGTGTAAGAAAATAACGCATTAGTCTACACGCGTGTTTATTGGTGAATAGGAGACGGACTAGTTAAATATAACGTAAATTAGCTCAAATATAGGATGTTTGTGATAGTCTTACGTTACCTGAGGGAGAAGGCTGGGATGAATGGTGCTTTGGGACATGCTCATGACAAACTTCTGAACTAACATAGCAGGTCCGCTTAACCAGCCGAGGCGATAGCTAGCGTGTTAAAGACATTGCTATCAGAACATTTTGTAAACTCCTGGATTACTGCTGTTTAAAAATTACACTAAATTTTTAAATTACAAGAAATTAAAAATGAATGTGTGTGTTATGCTTCCTTCACCTACCCTGCTCCCAGTATCTTAGAGAAGGTGTCGAACCTCAGCACTCTACCATCTACATCAATGGACTGGAAGCCACGCCGCCTCTGTAAAGATCAAATTAGTGTGTTCGCATAATATAGGTCTGCTCACTATGGATATTATATAGATATACATGCTATGAAACTAGCTCATTTTTATCTTGTTTTTTATACGAACAAATTATTTCATCACTAACCTGCATGAAAATTAAATACCAAGCGATAAAAGCCATAGACTATCATTTTTTTTAATTTAGAATTTATGTAACTTATCCAACCTGATGAAACTGCATGAAGTAGTATGCTGCATCCTCAAGTATGATGACGTCATATTTCCGACAAACTTTGTAAATTTCCTTCAATCGATTTTGTTCCCATGTGTTACCTTGTTTCAAATAAAATCATAATAATATAATCATGATAATATAACAATATAATAAGAATAATATCCTGTTTATAAGCTTTTATATAACTTGCTTTCTCTGTCTGTCTTTTTACAAAACTTTTGTTTTAACCAGCTTCCTCTGTAGGCCCCTTTATCTTTTGTCAGTTGTCATGACGGGCGAAATTTCAACCATCTAACCCACAAGTTTTTCCGAAACTTGACACGCGCGTCAAGACACGATGACAGTGCAATCTGTCATCAAATTTGACTTAATTGGATGCTTAATTATTTTTTAAATAGTTAATTAAATGTTCCTATATAAAGAACTAATTACAGCGCTATTGTACGAACATGTGCTGTGTTAATTAAGTGCGCAATAGATTCTAGTCATGCAACTCCAGTGTATTACCCATATTAGGATACTGTAAAAAAAAATGTCCATAAGCCGGAGTAATCTCCTCTAAAAATAAATCGAATCTAATATATAAAGTTCAATACTATATGTGACCGCGGACCGCGGATATTTTTTTTTTTTTTTTTTTTTTTTTTTTTTATTTATTTATTTTTTTTTTTTTTCGGATATCAAAGAAATACAAAAGTTCCCGCTCTACACTAGATGTTTTCAACACAGAAATATAAGAATATAAAACAATTTGTTGTCATAGTGTTATAAAGTGCTCTTGTCTAAACTATTAATTTTAAAAATTAATATTGAAGGTGTTGTAAAACAAGCTTCTTATTCGAACTTATAATGATAATTGTCAGCATGTTTATTGAACAAACTTTTTTTTAAAATGTATCAGTTTTTACCAAAATTCTAATTATTTCTGAAAATTATTTACATTTATTCCTTTTAGCGCGCATTACTTCCCTTGACACATTAGGAAAACACAATTACTTTCCTTTAAAAACCATTACACGGGGGGGGGGGGGGGGGGTACTTTTTATTACTTTGTTTTGGTGTTGGGAAAAAAAATAATTACATAATTAGCGGCTATTCATCAAGTGCAATATTGTAGGTATTTTAAATACCGCTTTTTATTTCTTTTATACACTGAACGTAGTTTCCTAATATTTTTTTTTAAATCAATAACAGTTAAGAAGCCAGCTCCTAAATGTACTCATTGTTTAATACTTTCCCTTTGCGTATAAGCTTGGAGTATTATAATAATTATTGTTCACTAAATTGAAACAGGCGCGTCCGCCAGCGCCCCGGCAGGGTTCGATTAGGTGCCCTGGGCTATCCTATGAGCGTTATGGTGCATAATTTCGTTTTAAACTGTGCGATAGACTATGGATAAGAAAGGTTACTATAGTCTTTACGTGAATCAAATTCGGTTGTCCTTCGGCGCCCCGACAGGGTGCTATTTGGGGCCCGGGGCCTTCCCGTGTTCGCTTTAACGCCTACGTTCGTTTAAGTGAGTGCAAAAGACTATGAATAAGTTGGGGTGCTATAGTCGTTTACTAAGCTGAAACAGGCGGTTCCGCCGGCGACCCAGCATGGTGCTATTATGCGCCCCGAACTAGACTGTGAACACTTTGCGTTTATGTTTGCCTTTGTGTTTTCTTTGTGTCTGTGTTTGAGTTTGTGGGTGGGTTTGTGTTTTTATTTGTGTTAACGTTAGTGTTATGTTTGCGTTTTTTTTTTGTGTGTTTTGGCCTTGGTTGGTTGTGGTTAGGTTGGGCAATTCCAGGTATATGCTGATCATTAAACACACATGTCATGGCCCTTTACAGATAGATTTCTCACAGAGTCCAGTGCAGTACCTGGCCGGGACGGCTAGTATATTTATAACACTAAGGGGATAGCAACTCCAGTGCAATCTGTATATAGAGATGTTTTTTTTTAATCCATTTTTTAATACTGAAATTTTCTTAAATAGTATAGAATAGCATTAAAAATGCGCACCAGATGAACAGCAAAATAATATGTGTATAATAGTGCGGAACATTAATTATTTTTCAAAGAGTTGATTAATCAACTAATTAAGTAACGTTTTGTGTCAAAATACATTGTATTCAAGTCTTTACCTATGTAAAACGTTTGAAATAAATCGGTCCAGTATAAGTGTTCGAAATTTTTCTCGCAAGTTTTCCACCATGACGGAGAAAGCAAGTCAATAATAAATTCTTTTCATAAATCTGAAATAGCACAAAGTACTACTTTCGGTCATCGGAAAATCACTCAATATTTAATCGAAACAAAAAACAATAGATCGTGTCTACGTAACTAGAACAGTACTTTAGTTATATGCCTTTGAGAAACCGAAAGAAGAATGAGTGTCACTTATAGCTACCGGAAATCGCTAAAAAAATTGATACTGAACTTCAAATTGGATACATGAAATGTCTTCAAGCTAGCTATAATGGCACTCAATCATTTTTTTACCGCCCCCCCGAACGAAATGAAATTTATATAATTTATATAGAAAATATATACTTTTAACAGTGTCCGCCCCCCCCCCCCCCCCCCCCCCCGAAGAAAGTTTACCGCCCCCCCCCCCCCGAAGATTTCAAGTGCCCCCCCGGAGAAAAAAGTCTGGAAGAAACACTGCACTCAATTTATCGTGTTTACAGACAGACAGTCACATTCACGGACCGGAAATATATACACATATATATATATATATATATATATATATATATATATATATATATATATATATATATATATATATATATATATGCCTATACGTGATAGTGCTGATTACTCTTTGGATTGTTGCAGAACGTGATCGTGTATAAAACTCGTGGTCTTTTCGTGTTGGGATGTGTCGTTGCCCAGCATCCTAGAACATCTTCCAAATCTTGAGCCAACATCCCTTCCTCATCACTGGGCACCGTGATTGTCCTGGCACCGTACAGTCTGGACTGAAAATGTCATGAAAGATGGGACAACTGATTACCAACTGAGTCAAAAGCAACTGGCAAAAGGAAGCTCTAAACGTTATTAATTTGCAGAGATACTGACAATCTTTACATACTAGATATATGGTCCGTCGAGGGGGGGGAATACAACTGGCGGTAGGCTAATAGATTTTTTTTTTTGTTTTTTTTTAATCCAAAGCAAATATTTAAAACTTAAAATAAATCTAAACACTCAAGCCGGTACCGAAGTGGATCTGGAACCAATTTAACTGGAAAAGGAACTTAATTTGGACACGGATAAATAACAGTAAAAAGGAACTTTATCGGAACAGCATCTTTCACCGGAGGATGTTCTTTAACAGAAAACAGAACTTTATCCAGAACCGGTACTTTAAACAGCATTCGGAAATTTAACTGAAAATGAAATATAACCGGATACAGAACTTTATCCGGAAAAGAAATTTTAACCGGATTCCTAAATTTAACCAGGCAATTAAAATTCAACAATAAATGGAATTTAATCGGGAAATCCGGAACTGGCTTTTAACAAGATCTTGAAATTAAACCGGTTACGGAAATTTAGGAAAACGAAATTTTATCGAAAACTGTACTTTATCAGGAATATGCATATTAACCGGATCTGGAAAATTAGGCAGAAAAGGAAAATGCAATATAAAACGAAATTTAATTGAAAACCGGATCTGGTTAAAATGCCGGATTCGGACATTTAGAAAGAAACAGATATGTAACCGGAAATGAGTGTAACCGAAAACTTAACTTTATTCCGAGTCCAAAATTTGACCATAAATAAAAATTTTAACTGAAGAGGAAAACAAACCGAAAACGGACCTTAACAGGTAAGAAATTTAACAGGAAGCGGTCCTTATTCTGAACCGACATTTTAACTCAATCCTGACCTTTAACCTAAAATTATTTTTTTTAAATAGCCGGAAATAATAATTAACCAAAAAAGCTAAAACCTGAAACTTAAATTTATTCATCTGCCCCATATTTCTTTGGCACCAAAAGAAAAAAAGATTATTAGAATGTGTTGGTTATTGTTATGGTAAAGCCTAAAAAAGCACCAGTTTCGCTAGAATCATTATCTTTTTGTCACGCTTTAACACTTTAATGAGACGCAGTGGCAGTATAGTAGAGCGTCACATTGCCTACCTGAAAGTCTCGAGTTCGGGTCCCTGTTATGAGTCTGTTGAACGTACCTGAGTTCACTCGACTCGGAGTTACGTTAGGGATAGTGGAGGCGGTTGGGCATACTACTGATTTAATATTAATCTTCATGAACAGATGAACTCCATTTCATCTGCAACATGGACCGCCAGGTTCGAAAGAAAAATTTCACTTAACACTTCTACAGCTTCTAAAAAATTAAGAAAACTCACCGTGCCAATAGTATTTGCATAAATTTCGTTTTCCACTAATAGATAATCGCCTTCCTCCAGCAGTACATGAAATATCTGAAACAGGTATTAGCATATTTAAGAAAATGTAAAAATTCAGTTTTTGTGGGGACTTTTTTGGGGGAGAGGGGGGGTTCTTTATTTTGTATCACCCCCACCCCCTTCCCCTTAGTGGCATATTAAGTTTGACTAATGAACATAAACTGACCCCTCTGAGACCGTCTGTGATGCCGTTGGTTATGGTCAACATGAACGGCTCTGGGTGGTCAGTCCTGATAAGCTGTGGCGGCTCGTGTTCTACTCGGTGAAGTTCTGTTAGCCATTCCCGTAGTTCTGGTAGTCTGGTGGTCATGGTAGAGGGGGGGGGGGGAGAAATCAGATCTCAATCATAATTGTCTGCATACATGATGCACATATATACACTCCTGCAATCCCTTAGCGTTTATGTTTTAAAACTCTATTTCGACGAAAATCAGATATTTAAATAACTGCATTAGCTGTACTGAAATCGTTAAATGTCGGTCATTGATGGCCAGAAAAGAAAAGAGGAACGGAAAGCGCTAGGAGTTGTTTTTTATCGAAAATTTACATGTACATTTTTAGCTTCATAAAACATTTTCCTACAAAATATGACCACATGAATGAATTTTAGTATGCTCATTATTTTGTTTAGCCATGAATTACAGGTGGTTCTTTGTTTAGTACAAGTATTCGCTCGTAAGAAATGACTTATAGAAAAAATATTTTATTGATATTACAAAAACTTTTAAAGCTGTTTTCAAACAATTTTTAACATTAATGGTTTCGTTATTGTGTTTTCTTTAAAAAATAAATATATATATATATATAGAAAAAGCTCGTTTAACCTATATGTCCAAATAAGCTATTCATCAACTGTTCCTTAAACTTCTGTTTCCTACTTTACGACTACGAGACTGTAACTAACTATATTTTAGATTGATGACATACTCACCCCTCGCACAGCCCATAGTTTCCAACAACCGCCATGTCTTTGTTGTCCAGTTCAATCAACAAACCATCTCTAGTGATTGTTTAAATTTACATCAACTTATCAACACCCGAATTGTATACAGGCCTACTTTATGTGGAATCTATTCTCATGGACCTATGGGTGTTTGTGTCTTTTTTTGTCGATCAATATAATACACACACACACAAACACACACACGAATACTAGGATGCACCTTTATATTATGTGTGATGCACACAAACAGAAACACGCACACTAGGATGCACCGTTATAATAATCTTATGTGTGATGCAGCAATTCGTATTGAATTAATCACTCTAACGTTGTTTTGTATTATCCGATTGGAAAGCTAGCAAGGTGTCGGGGGTTCATCATTAACCGCTTTCAAAATTAGGTTTTGGGTTTAAGGTAATGACGTACCACCGCACCAGGACTGATAGTCAGGTGGACAGAAGTCCAAGCTACGGATATTAGAGCAAGTATTGGGGTGGTTGTGTAATTTTAGTCTTCTTCTTTAATTGTAAAGTTTGACGGGATTTCCTACGCACTAGTAAGTATTAAGTGTCAACATGTTATGTGACAAATGGTCCGTTTGAATCAGATTTTTGCCTGCTTTTGCTTCCATAGTCTTTGTACAACCTAGAACAAACTTCAATGCAGCAATTGTTTGATTTTGGAGTTGTCTCTCTTAGCTGGGTATATATCCCCAACCATCGAGCCTTATCTGCCCGAGGGTTTGAACTTGGGACTTTTTGGTTTAGCAGCCATGCGCTTTATCAGCCTGGCCAGGAATACTTCAGTCGATGAGGTAGTTATTGTAGAAACAGTGACTGAGACAAGCTTTCAGTTTAGTAAGACGCAGGAATAGTTTGTAAAGTCATAATCTAAGTTTTATAAGATTGGAATCACAGACGAGGCATATGATAGGATTATGATTTGTTTGTAGCTGTGTAGCAGTGTAGGGATAAACATTGTGATGTATTTTAACATATGAAAAAAAGGAGCTATGTGATATAATATTTAGAATAAAAACGCAATAATACGTCTAGCAGCAAAACTTTTAGACAAACAATAAAACAATTGGGGGGGGGGGGGGGGAAGGGGGGGACTCAGATAAAATTGAGGATTCACAATGTTATCAATAGAAATTTTACCTCAAAGTAAACATAGCGTTGATAACAGGAAATGTATCGGTGTTGGGCAGACCATTGGCCAGAAAGATGACAGGCTTGCCACTGGAGCAGGCTGAAAGTCATTTTAACATAAACATTTCTTTATGGGGTCACGACTGATCTGCATTTGTACCACGTCTCTGCTCGTCATATTTATGGACTTGTTTGTCAGTCAAATTTATGGACTTGTTTGTCACAATTATGGACCTGTTTGTCAGTAAAATTTAAGGACTTGCTTGTCATACTTACGAACCGATTACTACATTTATGAACAGCGCTTTTCATAGATATAAACTGTATTCTTCATTAAACATAGTTTTATTTTAATGTAAATTTCAATTTTATAGAGATGAGTTCTAATTGGCGACCTGTTATTAGATAGACATTGTTGGTTTAAAAAGCTCCTCCAAGTCAAGTTACAGTATAACAACAGACAATATCGCGTCTTACCTTTCGAGTAGAGTTGACGAAGCGAGTTGTCCTCGGCAAGTCTGCCCATACGACTCAGTGCCCCAATGTAGTCAGGAAGGGAGACGGGTGAGGTTAGGAGATCTTCGGTAGATTTTGTACACACATTTAAAGGTGAACATTCATTGCAACATTGTGAACAATCTTCGAGACCTTTAGTGAGAAAGTTACTGAAACGAGTAAAAAATGATTTAGTTGAATGCAATTGTATGGTCTTGTTCTAAACGTTAATGTATCTTTAATTAAGCTGTACTACATCTCCAATTAAGCGAGGTGCTCATTGAACCCATCTTTTGAAATTCGTACAAAAAATATTTATCGTTACAGTAAGAAACAGATACGCAAAACTACAAAAAACCTAATCCTTAACACGTACTTAAACACTGAAAAAAAACCACTGATATTAAAACCTAAACCTAAACATAACATTAACATAACGCAACAGTAATCATACCCTAACATAACCAGTATATCTAACCAAGGTTAAGCCTGGTCGGATATCGAGAGCGCGGCACGGGACGCCTCTGATACTTGGGCGGGATCTACCTCGCTATACAGGAGGGTGATTAATGTACACCAGGGCGTCTGGGTGGAAGTGTAAACAAACCTGCGGCCCAACATCTAAAATCCAATATAGCGCCGGTGCTGTTCACACTAAATCAGTTTTAGAAAACAAGGTCACCCGTCTTAAAATAAAATCATTTGTATCGTGTACTCTTTGGAGAAATTCTCTAAAACTATTGCGTGCACGCAAGTAAATTCTAAACATGATGTAAATTTTACTTTATCAAAATTAATGCTGCAATATCAGCATATTTTGTAAATGATCACAAGGATCTCTTCGCTTATATATATATATATATATATATATATATATATATATATATATATATATATATATATATATATATATATATATATATATATATATATATATATATATATATATATATAGGACTATATATTAATTTTTTTTTATTTATCAGCAAGACCAAATTTAGACCACTAAAAGAAGTTACCTTGTTCTGTACAAGTCTACAACCTTTGCTGCGGTTCCCATTAAAGACGTTGAACAGAATATCAGGCTTGAAATGTCTGGTGTATTAAAAACCTCAAATATCAAATGATGTTATTGCCGTAACGGAGTGAGCAAATGAGCAGGTGCACCACTCCATGTGAACAAATTGAGATTTTATAGTTTCAATAGAAGAATGCGAATGTAAAATGGTGTGATTTCGTTATGCATTAAGAAGAAAATTAATTATAATATGGGAAGATATTAGCATAAAACTGCTGACAATTTGCTGCGATCATCAAAAAAATTTTAACTCGCGCAGGGTAGGCCTACGTTAGAAAAGTGACGAGTACTTTTTAATACACAGGAATAATTACTTTTTGTTAAACTAGACAAGTCTATGTCATTTTTTACAGATAAGAACTTACTGAGAGTCTGAGCTTAATACATGGCAGCATGTACTCAGGTAAAAAATGTTATATATATATATATATATATATATATATATATATATATATATATATATATATATATATATATATATATATATATATATATATAATTATATATACATGTATATACATATATATTTAAATATACATATATGTATATATATAGTATATATATATATATGTATATATGTATATATGTATATATATATATAATATTTATATATATATATATAATAAATTATAGGTGTTGTCATTATATATATATATATATATATATATATATATATATATATATATATATATATATATATATATATATATATATATATATATATATATATATATATATATATATATATATATACATCATAGGTGTTATCATTATTATTTTATCTCAATTTCATTATGTCAGTATTACTCGCTGTAAAGCTTGTGTTTTCTCACATTTTTCTCACAATTAAAAATTGTCACAAATGTGCTAGGTTGAGACTAAAACTACCCTCCCCTCCCCCCCCCCCCCCTCCCGGTATCATGATTATCGTCTACGACCTTTTTACATTGAATTCAAAAGCGTAATTAAAGATGATGAGATTGGACGGTAGAGTGCACGAACAAAAAACGCGAAAGAATCGAGGTCCGCTCACAGTATCGAGGAATAGTAACTGCGGCGAGGCATGCCTCTGACCTGACTATCCCTTAATATACTGAGGACAGAGCTCAACTTCATCTATCCTATAGAACATCTGCTTTAAAAAAGGACTTCAAATAGACATGGTCAGCACGGCTTCAGTCCCACGATCTGGGCTTAAACTATCATCACCATCATCGTTTCCAGTTTGTGCCCAAGACACATGGGGCAGATGAAGTAAAGTTCATCTGTTAAAATGACCTCGGCATACAAGAAGAGAACTGTGGTCGGCACCATGCCAAGCAGCCTTTGTTTCCCAAAATCTGGGTGTACTCAAGATCGTTCTACTGGCTTGAACCCAGATTCGAACTCGATATTCTCTGGTTAGAAGTCTAGCTATCTACTGCCATGCCACGTTGTCACCTAAAATTATCATGCTACCTTGAAACAACAAAAAAAAAACAACTGGAATGTTGCAAAATCTGTGAATTAGTTAATGAAATGCAAATAAAGAATGATATATCGTATCAAACCATAATCCCCAGCTTCGTAATTATACACGGTTAATCTGGAATATGGCCCATCTCACGTGAGAGTTATTTAAATAGCACGCGCATTATCTCAAATAGTTCATTAACAATTCCATTTCGTCAGCAGACCTGCTGTCCTTGGGAGAGAAAAAACTGTAAAAATGCATATAAATGAAATCTTTTATAACTTCTTAAAAAATTGCATGGGCCTGGATTGAGGAAGTTAATGAAATTACTCAGCGATTACCATCTCGAACATGACCAAGTTGACTTTTTCGTATATTCTTACATAACTTTAAGGGCTGTATAATTTTTTTTATAATTAATTTTTTTAAAATACTTAACTTTTTTTTTAAACGGAATAGAATTATTTTTACACCAAATGAACGAAAAAATAGTACTTTATTAAGAAAACATTGATTACCTTTTTTTAAGAAACCGGATATAGCGTAAAGTACGTCTTCCGGTCACCGAAAATCACACAAAATTAGTCAGAAAACAACTTATAAAATCATAAACCAATGTATGAAATTTTCGTCCAGCTAAGTTATTTGGTATTTTAGTTACCAGAAATAGAGAGAAGTAATACTTCCGAGTTCGGAAGTCACTCAAAAATTTTAAGCGATCCAGTTTTATTTTATTTTATTTATATATAAAATTTCGTCTACCCTACTGAAACTCTACTTAAATTGTCTTGTTCTCAAAGAAAAAGAGTTAAGTACCTCTTCCGTTTACCGGAAATCGTTCAAAAGTTTGTAGAAAACTGCGCATACAATCTTATACTTTATGTGAAATTTTGTCTACCTAACTAGTATGATATTCAATTATAGGCTTTGGGAGAACCGAAGTAGAGTTCGTATCACTTCCGGTTGATAAATTACGTATGTTCATAATTTGGGCAAAACTACTGAAACGGTACTCAACAAAGCGTGTTTACATACACACAGAAAGAGAGACTGGTAGGATTGTAAAACTAAGTTTTTCCAGCACCGGAAGATTGTAAATTGTCAAATTTCGTCAAAATCTCGATTTAGAATTTTTGCAAGCCTACAATACAACTTTTAAAATTCCGTATTCGATAAAGTAAAAAAAAGTTGCCGAATTAAATAAAGTCTTGGTAAAACTGTACTAGCCCTGTACCAATATAAGGACAGGCAGGTAAAACTGTACTAGCCCTGCAGCAATATGACAGGCAGGTAAAACTGTACTAGCCCTGCAGCAATATGATAGGCAGGTAAAACTGTACTAGCCCTGCAGCAATATGACAGGCAGGTAAAACTGTACTAGCCCTGCAGCAATATGACAGGCAGGTAAAACTGTACTAGCCCTGTACCAATATAAGGACAGGCAGGTAAAACTGTACTAGCCCTGCAGCAATATGACAGGCAGGTAAAACTGTACTAGCCCTGCAGCAATATGACAGGCAGGTAAAACTGTACTAGCCCTGCAGCAATATGACAGGCAGGTAAAACTGTACTAGCCCTGCAACAATATGACAGGCAGGTAAAACTGTACTAGCCCTCAGTGGCGTAGCGAGGTCGGGTGTCACCCGGTGCGACACTTAATGGTGTCACCCCCCCCCCACCAGAGGCGTAGCGACTCTTCCCGGGAACAAACTTTCAATTATCAATTTGCACCCCCCCCCCCCTCGAACTTTCGATTTGCATCCCCCACTCCCTATCAAATTTCTCTATATATTTTCTTTATATATTTTACTATTTTTTGCCTTGGTATCACCCCCTAAATGGTGTCACCCGGTGCGGTCCGCCCCCCCCCCGCCCCCCCCCCCTCGCTACGCCTCTGCTAGCCCTGCAGCAATATATGGACAGGCAGGTAAAACTGTACTAGCCCTGCACCAATATAAGGACAGGCAGGTAAAACTGTACTAGTCCTGCAGCAATATATGGACAGGCAGGTAAAACTGTACTAGCCCTGCAGCAATATATGGACAGGCAGGTAAAACTGTACTAGCACTGTACCAATATGGACAGGCAGGTAAAACTGTACTAGCCCTGTACCAATATGACAGGCAGGTAAAACTGTACTAGCCCTGCAGCAATATATGGACAGGCAGGTAAAACTGTACTAGCCCTGCAGCAATATATGGACAGGCAGGTAAAACTGTACTAGCACTGTACCAATATGGACAGGCAGGTAAAACTGTACTAGCCCTGCAGCAATATGACAGGCAGGTAAAACTGTACTAGCCCTGTACCAATATAAGGACAGGCAGGTAAAACTGTACTAGCCCTGCAGCAATATGACAGGCAGGTAAAACTGTACTAGCCCTGCAGCAATATGACAGGCAGGTAAAACTGTACTAGCCCTGCAGCAATATGACAGGCAGGTAAAACTGTACCAGCCCTGCACGAAATGCTGGTAATTCTTCTTTCAGGAAGAGCAGGCTAGCGCGCAACAGCTTGCAAGTATTTAGTCATAAATAACACTGCATTAAGGAATATTAAGTGTAACATAGTTTAACAAAACTTCCAACGTTATAGAGTACATTAATTTATATTCTTCATGGGATTACTTAAACAGGTTGATTAGTCTGAAAAGCGTTATGCTCAATTAATCACCATTCTATTTGTATGCTTGTTTTATTTGCTAAAGTTAATTCTTTGTTCTTTAAATTAGATATACACAAAAAATTGTTCATTTAAATTTCATTAAGACAATCAGGGTCCATATCGAAAAGTTCTATATAGATTATTCACATACCACAAAAGAAAGAAAACCGCTGCATAAAAGAAGGACAAGATCACAAGAAAATATTTCTCCCAGAAAGAAAATCATTCTTCCGTTTTATTTTATTAAAATATTTTTATTTTTATTAGATATAAGAGAGAAAGCAAACAAAAAGGCGAATGTAAATAATTTCCAAATTTTAAAACTGTTAATTGATACTAGGGTAGAAATCATTGAATGAGTATAGAATCAGTGGCGTAGCGAGGTCGGGTGTCACCCGGTGCGGCACTTAATGGTGTCACCCCCCCCCCCCCCCCCCCCGAGGCGTAGCGACCCTTCCCGGGGACAAACTTTCAAATTTTCGATTTGCACCCCCCCCCCCCCTCAAACTTTCGATTTGCAACCCCCCCCCCCTCAAGTTTTTCTCTTATATTTTGCTATTTTTTGCCTTGGTGTCACCCCCCTAAATGGTGTCAACCGGTGCGGTCCGCACCCCCCCCCCCCCAAGCCGTAAAAGAATGTATGTATCGGTCATAATAAACGTATTAATTTTTGTGTATGGATAATTATTAAATGTATTTAAACTTAATCCCAAGATTACTATCAGAATTTATTAGCTTTGAATTTAATATTTACTGTAGTATTATAAAATTTACATTGTAACCGATATGCTTTTAGTTCGGATTTGTTTTTTTTTTAATATCCATGTATTTGTTATAACATTTTTTAAAGGGATTTGTAATATATGCATTTGAAAATAGTAAAGACTGAGAAACATGTGTTGTCATGTTAAGCTATAAACACATAAAAATACAATACTAATAAAAAACAAATGTTCTATAAAATCTTTCTTCGTGTAATGTTGCATAACTTTTCCACATACCAATATTATATTTAATATTCAAGACCCACCTACACCACATAAACCATAACGGAGTTTTTTACTATATGCAAGTCATTCACAATGCCGTCCGCCATCAACAGATAAGCAGTCAATTTTATCTTTGTAGTATATATTCTCGAAGCATTTAAAAGCTTATTAATTAAAAGTTTTTTATATTGGTTTTTATTTCAACTTTTCAGTAATTCCTTCTTAATTAATGAAGCCAACGCCAAATACGATTAAAAATATTTGCAATAAAACCCGATCAGCATCTTGCGATCACTAAAACACAATTATCTGCCCCTTAGAGGTCAGTTGTCGACTCTCGAACTATAAATAAACCAGCCGAGATACAATTCACCATTGTCGGTTAGCTGATCAAGCGATCGCTAGTATTTAATCTTGTTATCTCCCCTTTTATTATTAAATTTGGTCATTTTAAAACAAATTTTAATAACTGATCCAATGCCTAAATATATTACAAAATATTTTGTTGGATTGTTGTGGGAGATGAATTTTTCTAGAAACATTCCATGCTAAACATTCCATTTCATATCTAAATTTATATTCACCAGAGATAAAAAAAAATTAAAAGTAAAATCTAATACCACTCTTCATATGCGACCTAACAGATTTACTGTAAGATATTATTTTCATTCAATACTCATGTCAATACTAGACGTATACACACAGAAATTCTTTGTAGGATATGCTTTAATTCAACTCTCCTATCAACAATCGTCTACTACCCAATATTACTGAAACCGTTAACAGGATATAATTTTTAAAAAAAACTTAAACAAGTACTAAATCATTTTTTATGTTTATTAGATAACAGATTGGGGCTAAGTTTTTTTCTAATCCGGGTCTACGATATATAAAAAGATAAATAAAAATCACATTAAAAGTACATTGTCTTTAATTGCTAAGACTCCTACACGACAACAGCTTGATTATTTTTTCCTTGAATCTTTTTGACAACCTCAGCTAAGATTTTAATACCCTGAAAAAATAATTGCATTAGTGCATGTAAAACACACATTAATTTAATACCAATATATATTCAATTTTATTTAGAAACATTTGACATTTTCCTCTAAAATTAATTCCATTAAAAAATAAAAAATATTAAAAGTAACTTATTGTTCTTCTATAGCACAATACACAACTTACCTTGTCCATTTCTTCCACACCAGCGACCGAGAAAGATAACCGTATGAAAGGTTTTGGAGCTTGATCAGGTGAGAAGAGCCGCCCAGCGACAATGGCCACGCCCTCTGCCAGAGCTTCCTCCATCAACTGGCTCGTGTCTAACACGCCTTTGATCCTCACCCAGAAGAACATCCCTCCACTCGGGAAGTTCCATGTCGCAAGATCTGGAATGTTGAAGCAAATGTCAATAAGAATCAGTCCTAACTAAAGACAAATTGGCCGATGTAGTGTTACTTTTAAATATGACCATGGACAGTGTGGAATAATTTCGCTGTTTACAACTAGCAATGATTATTTTCACATGCAATAATACTCATGTAGTTTGCTAAAGTTCACTCATAGGTCAATAATAGTACAATAATTGACAGTGTCTTTAATTTCCTTAACAACTGCTTCCATAACTTTCATTTCTACAAACCCCAGCAAATCCAATCTCTTGCTATTCTCCTTGCCTGCTATATATCTGTACATACTCCCTAAAACCCCACCCAAATATACCCCCCTTATTCTGTGTATAACCTCCACACATGACAACCAAAACCCCTAATATAAAGCCTTACACCTATATAACCCCCTTACCCATATATAACACCCCTTACCACCATATGACCCTCTTACCCCCCATATATCTCTGTAAAGCCGCCTCCATATAACCATGACCCCCCTTACCCCCATATGACCCCCCTTACCCCCCATATATCTTTGTAAAGCTCCCCTACATATAACCCCTATATGACCCCCATATCCTTATATATCTCTGTAAGGCCCCCTATATATGACCCTCTTACCCCTCATACATCTCTGTAAATCCCCCTACATATAACCCCAGTATGACCCCCTTACCCCTATATGACCCCCTTACCCCCCATATATATCTGTAGAACCGCCTCCATACAACCCCTATATGACCCCCATACCCATATATATATATATATCTGTACGGCCCCCTACGTATAACCCCCATATGACCCCCTTACCCTCCATATATCTCTGTAAAGCCGCCTCCATATAACCCCCATATGACCCCCTTACCCCCATATGACCCCCCTTACCCGCCATATATCTCTGTAAAGCCGCCTCCATATGCCGAGCCCTCTGTTGGTACTTGGCTGCTAACTTGACCATCTCGCTGTGGAACTTCTCCAGTCCCCACTGGTGTAGGAGTTTGTTCACCATCAGCTGGGGAGAATCGAAAAACGTTCGATTCAACGTGTAAATCGGATGTTAAATTACAATCACTTGGGTTTTTTTATTTCACACACACAGAGAAATATTCGCAAATGTAATGTAAATGTAGCCTATAAACAACGAGTTTGAAAAATATAAATACATTGTTTAAGAATTTTAAATTGCCTGACATATCTGTGATTTAAGGCATCTCCTCCCAAACATGGCAGCGAAGATTGCTACGAAGGCAAGTGTGAAATTTTCTACAGAAATGTACAAGCTCTATTGATATAGTATGCTAGCTCACATAATTAAATATTCCAAAATAGACGTTTTGTCCTCGCAGAGTTGAAACAAGTATGCAATGTATTAATTTTCCTATGCCCGTCGACGTTTGATAATTCCCTTCTTAGTTTCAATCTTTCTCGGCCACAAACAGGACGCTCCTTTGATCTTCAGATTATTTACGTTTATATAACTTTACAAATTTTAGCGGAAATGTAAGATTTCGTGGGTTTTAAGAGCGTCTGTAGAGGCGCCGTGATTTATTTTCAAATGGGGTAAATAGCTAAAACGTTTGAAAATCTCTGAATTATGGAGGCTGGATAGAATAACAATCGGGCTATAGATTACCTGCGACAGCAGACAAGGGTGCATGGTGTTTTGTGACATATTCAACACAAACTTTTGCACAAGCGTGGCAGATCCACTAAGCCAGCCTAGCCGATATCTGCATGGAAAAGACTTCAGCGTTAAGATTGTTTCAATTATTTAAATGTAGTAGTACAAATGCTGTGTTGGTTTTTTTTTGTGTGTATTCTTATTACGTTGCTATGTCTTGTGTTCTTGTTGCGTTTGTCTTTTTATTGTCTCGTATATGAAGTGTAAAGGAAGTATTGTTGCCGTGCAAAAAAAATAGAAATCGAGATATTTCCACACAAAAAAACTTGAGATTTTGAAAAAATTCTCTATGTTTTATAAAATCTCCGTGATTCAGAAAAACTTAGTTTTGCAATTTTGTCTGTCTGTCTGCCTGCCGACATGCTTGCATACCCTTCCGGAGGATGGTACATTCTAGTGTCTTCCAACTGACAGACATATTCATTCCGCATTGTTTCAGCTTAACTTAAAACGTACTAAACAGTATTTAATAAAGTTCAAATGACAATCAACAGCGGAATGTTAGGATTTTTCTCTATATACGATATATAAAAATAAAAGACGATTGCGGTTTGACACCGTTTATCCCGGTGCCATAAAACTTTAGGGAGCTGATGAATACTCCCGAGAAGGTTTCTGGGGTGGGAGGGAGGAATAGGGGTGGATGGGTGGTGGGGAAGGGATCTAAACAGTTCGGTCAAAACATTGTGATAGACAATGGATAAGATGGGGCATTACAAACGCTTACTAAATTGAATCAAGCGTGTCCTCTGGCGCCCTGGTAGGGTGCGATTAGGCTGCAAATAAAAATGTTTCGGCCCCCAAAGACTCACATGGGCCGCTGAGGGCCAAGTAATACGTTATATTTTAATAATCTGAAAAAATAACCAAGGTTTCATGTTTCATTTTGTCCATTAAAAAATCAAAACAGTTTCTTCGTTTTGCGAATTATGCAATTAGCATCGATTTTTAGATAATCCAATTAGAAATTGAGATAGAGCATCTAAGAATAGACCATTAGTAACGCTAACATATTGCATCAGTCACACTGATGTTTAAAAAAATGTACAACAAATCCTGTTCATTTGGGTCACTTTAGTGAATGACGCAATCTGCATCATTGTCAACAGGATGCTATTTGGCACGATGGCGCCTGTTAGTTTTAAGGAGCCAGGGGTGGTACGCCGCGCCTATGCGGTAGTGTAATCGAGGGGGGGGGGGGGCAGTAGCGTACGCAGGGGGGGGGGGAGCAGGGGGAGCGGCCGCTCCCCCTCTGGCCAATTTCAGCAAAGTGGCGCCTTTTTGGAAACTTTTTAAACTCAAAGTTTTAAACAATGATATTTGTTAAAAAAATATTTTTGGTCGGCACATCTATGTAAATCACAAGATTTCTTTTCATGCAGCAATTAAGCATTATTGTACTAGTCTAGTAGTGTCTACGTTTACAACACGTATTAAAGCTGCATCAGTTTGCCATTCTAAAAATAACCATTACGATGCATTGCAATGTTTAAAAAACCTCTACGGGTAGTACCACTTGGCAAGAGGGGTGTTAAGTTTAAGTTTTTAATAATTGAATTAGAAAATGTTATACATAAAACGTCACACATAATTACTTTATATATACAGTTTGAATCGTGTGATAACATTTTTAAAAATTACAATACAGAAACAAATACAACTGATGTGGCACCTCTATTTAAATTTACTGATGAGCAAACTGCGTAGTGGTGGGGAAATTTTGACAAGGTCAACAACGTGAACACTATGAAGTAGTAGTATTCTTACAGTTTGGGCGATAGTGATTACGATTACAAATTATATGAAACAGTTACAATCCCCCCCCCTCCCCCATGGACCCCTCTGTAAAAAACAATATTGTCATAATACCACTGCTACTTATTTAAATCTATTTCTGTAATATATATTTGTGTAATATATATTTGTGTAATATATATGTATGTTTAGAACAGTCATCTAAAAACTGACTCTATGTTCACTCTGAGTTGGTTATCTTCTCCCCCCCCCCCCCCCCCACACACACCTCACCATCACAATTGTGTAGAGCGACATTAATGTCACACCTAGGTATACACTGGGTTGGATAATTGACCTAAAGTGATCGGACAGTGGTGAATGAAGTTGAACCCACACCCCCCCCCCCCCAACCCACCCCGAACTGATCTGTTAAGTACATGTAGAAAAACGCGTAGTGATGTACCAAAGTACCATTCCGCCAAAAAAAATTTAGCTTTTTAAACGTAAAACTCTGTGAATATTGTTTTTGCAATTACCAGTAAAAAGGTGTGTGATCAATACAGTGATCTAACCCATAGCTATCACTATGTTAAAAATGATCTTTAAAGAACACAAAGAAGCAGTAGTTAATTAAAATATATGATCTGAACTAAAAGACGGATATTTAGTTAAATGTAGGCTTTTATTCCGAATGCCTTCTATTCTATCGAAAAGCGTGGTTTTATACCAACTCTGATTTTAAAAACTTTGATTATGCTGTAATACTTTAGCATTTATGATGACTATATATTAAATTATGATTATAGACAAAAACATTTTGTAAACACAAATAGTGTTAAACAATTTGATTATATTCTAAAGTAATTATTTATTTGTTTTGACATTTATAATTAAAGGTGTAGATATATACATATTTATATTAAGAGAGTGATTATTTCCCCTATTTCACGTGTCTTAAATAATTTCCCAGGAATTATTATGTAAGAAATTTGTTTACGAGAATTAAAAAACAGATTGTGTTACGTTCATTGTTTTTGGTTGTAGTGTGTGTAGATTTTTTTGTTGTTTTTGTTCTAGATTGATACAATTTTTGTTTTGTCGGCCTACATTGTGTTGTTTTTTTTATTTCTTCAGAGTGCTACTTTCAATTTATTTTACATCATTGCGAAGTAATGACATACAGCTAGTAATTATATATATATATATATATATATATATATATATATATATATATATATATATATATATATATATATATATATATATATATATATATATATATAATCGGCGCCTTTTTTTGCTCTTTTCGCTCCCCCTACAACGAAAACCTGGATACGCCTCGGGGGGGGGGGGGGGGGCTCCTGAGAACGCCCCTCTACGTTTTTGACATATGGACGGTTACCGAAGTGTGCCCTACCATATTTTTTCGGTGAGTGATTAATGTACACTCAAGGTTTTCATGCAGTGGTGTAGGTAAACCCGTGTCCCGATATTTATGATCCAAACGCAGACATTGTTTAAATTTAAATAACTCACTTTTAGAAAACAAGTTCACGAGTCTAAGAATATAGGATTGGTAACGCATGGATGAAACCCTTCTTATATATTTCGTCGGACTTTCTTCTATTCTCGCGGCAACGCGCGGGGACGGGTACGCTAGTATATATATATATATATATATATATATATATATATATATATATATATATATATATATATATATTTATATATATATATATATATATATATATATATATATATATATATATATATATATTTTAAAGAGAATAATGGTCGTACGAGCGAACATATCTAAGGTATTTTTTAATATTAAAAAAGTGTTAACTTTACATAAATAAATCTCAAAATGTGTTTTTTGTTATACATACTCACCCTGCTCCCATGATCTTAGAGAAGGTGTCGAACCTCAGCACTCTACCATCTACATCAATGGACTGGAAGCCGCGCCGCCTCTGTAAATAATGTCGAAAATATATTTAAAGCCTGAAGAATTCCCTTGTAAACTATGTAATGTAATTGTTTCAATAAAAAATGTGTTCTTCATTGATGACGTCGAGACAAAATTGTAATATTTACAAAAATGAAAAACTAATAGTTTTGCTACATGATGTGATTTCGGACATAATTTATGTAAAGTACTACTAAATATAAGTATAGCTCTGCTTACCTATGTAATATGTCGTTGTTTGTTTGTTTGTTTTAATTCTATTAGCCAACCTGCTGAAACTGCATGAAGTAGTACGCTGCATCTTCAAGTATAAAGACATCATACTTCCTACACACTTTGTAGATCTCTGCCAATCGTTCTTGCTCCCAAGTGTAACCTAGCCTCGATAAAAACATAAAAACATAATCATACATGGGATTTTTTAATCGCAGGATAACTGTCCAAAAGTCAAGAAAAGCGACTGTAGTGATAAAAGTCTTTTTGTTAAACTTTTTTATGTGTTTATAATTACTCTTTGGGTTGTTGCAATATGTGATCGTGTATAAAACTCGTGGTCTTTTCGTGTTGGGATGTGTCGTTGCCCAGGATCCTAGAACATCTTCCAAATCTTGAGCCAACATCC